CCCTGGTTATCCTCATTTCACATACAAGGACTGTAAAACTCAGATTAAATTTTTTTAAAGATTTATTTATGGGCCTGGCGCGGTGGCGCAGTGGTTCAAGTCCTCGCCTTGCACGCACGGGATCCCATATGGGCGCCAGTTCTAATCCCAGCGGCCCCGCTTCCCATTCAGCTCCCTGCCTGTGGCCCAGGAAAGCAGTCAAGGACAGCCCAAAGCTTTGGGACCCTGCAGCTGCGTGGGAGGCCCGGAAGAGGCTCCTGGCTTCGGATCGGCATAGCATTGGCCGTTGTGCTCACTTGGGGAGTGAATCATCGGACGGAAGCTCTTCCTCTCTGTCTCTCCTCTCTGTATATCTGCCTTTCCAATAAAAATGAAATAAATCTTTTAAAAAAATAAAGATTTATTTTTATTGCAAAGGCAGATTTACAGAGAAAGGGAGACAGAAAGTTCTTCAGTCCAGTTGGTTTACTCCCCAAGTGGTGATAACAGCCAGAGCCGAGCCAGTCTGAAGCTAGAAGCCAGGTGCCAGGAGACTCTTCCAGATCTCCCATGCGGGTGCAGGGTTCCAAGGCTTTGGGCTGTCCTCAACTACTTTCCCAGGACACAAGCAGGGGGCTAAAAGGGAAGTGAAGCAGCCAGGATATAACCAGTGGCGCATGCAAGGTGAGGACCCCAGATACTATGCAACCACTGGGCCTGAGATTACATTTATTTATTTATTTATTTATTGAGATTAAAGTTTCTAAGGTCTCATATTCTGCAGAGCCAGAATTAAACAGACAATTTGACTGCAGCATTCATGTTGGCAGTTTCCCTGCCTTAGGTCTAGCTTATTTAACTACATGCCTTACAGACTCAGGAAGCTTCACACTCGGAGCAGGCATTTGGTTCAGCATTATGTCACTGCCTGGCACGTTTGCGCGCCCCCCTTCCCCCCACGTTGGAGTGCCTGCCTGGCTTCAGTCCCAGCTCCTCCACTTCCTTCCAGCTTTCTTGTTACCGTGCACCCTGGAAGGCAGGGGATGCCTGCTCAGGTGTTTGGGTTTCTGCCCACAGGGTAGACCAGAATTAAGTACCTGGTCCTGGCTTTGACCCTTACCAGCCCTGGCTGGTCAGCTAATTGAAAATCAATATCTCTTTCTGACTTTTTAATACAACGAAAAAAGAAAAAAAGCCTTATACTTCAATAACAGGTAATCTTAATCCAAATGAAGCATGTCCTAATGACCCAACTTTAGGCATCAGAATTTAAGTGAACAAAAGTATCTATCTGTACGACATGTTTTGGAGCCTTTATGAGCCCTTCTGACTTTGCAAGAGTTAAATTTGGAAAGACCACCAACTGTACCTAACATCACCAGTTCATCCAAGGGAAGGTTAGAATGTAACACAATTTTAGTAGAAGCTTCAAACCGTGTGTTACTATTTCTGTTTCTATTATTTCCTCGTGCCTGTGACATTTTAACTAGAACTCATACAAGACCAGCCAAGACTGCACCTTGGATTTTAGATTGGAGACAAGTAACCTAAAATGGTTACCATTCTTCCCAGAACAATGGGATTCAGAAATAGATCCAGATTATTAGGGGGAATAATAAATGTGACATTTGAAGTCAGTGTGTGTATACGGGGAGGGGATAGCTTATTTAATGAATAGGCCAACACAACTAGTTAGGCATCTGGAACCTGACCTCATTCTGTTCCCTTAATTCAGAAATAAAAATTCAGAAGATGAATCCTTTTTTTTTAGGTGAATCCTTTCTTACATATTGGAATTTACAAAAAGCCACCCAAAGCATACACAAGTACAGAAAGAAAAAATAACAAAGTGGACCACAAAAATACAAAAACTTGTTCATGACAAAAAACAAAAAGGAAGCAAGCAAACAAACAAAAAAACCACAAACAAAACATAATTAAATAACTAGAATAAGATATTTGGAAAAACAACTAATTTTCTTAATGTAAGTGCTGTGCCTGGCGCAGTAGCCTAGCAGCTAGAGTCCTCACCTTGCACATGCTGGGATGCCATATAGGTGCTGGTTCATATCCTGGCAGCTCCATTTCCCTTCCAGCTCCCTGCTGTGGCCTGGAAAAGTAGTAAAGGATGGCCCAAGGCCTTGGGATCCTGCACCTGTGTGGGAGACCTGGAAGAAGCTCCTGGCTCCTGGCTTCAGATTGGCTCGGCTCTGGCTGTTGTGGCCACTTGGGGAGTGAACCAGTGGATGGAAGATCTTTCTATCTGTCTCTCCTTCTCTCTATATATCTGCCTTTTCAATAAAAATAAATAAATCTTAAGAATTTAAGCTGAGCTTGACATGACCATGGAACTCACAGGTACTGGGGCTGGGAACAGGCCAGGCTGGTCCAGGATGTAACACCCATAAGTGCACCCAAGTATTGGGTGTAGGGCAGGCTGGGCTGCAACATCCACCAGCACACATAAAGGCCAACACCGGCAGTCAGACTATGTCGGGTTAGTGCCTAGCACCCAATGGCACACGTGAGATCTGGGTCTGGGAGTGGGCCTGGTGGGTTACTTGGGGAACTCCCCTGGTGGACTATAGCTCTTACTGGTCAGCATGTGAGCCAGAGCTGGGTGTTGGTCAGGCCAGGCAAGGCAGTTCCGCTTGTCAGCAAGTGTGTGGCTCTGGGCGGGTGGACCCAGCAGGGCCAGACCAAAGCTTAGCACACTGGTATTTGCAAGAGCCAGGAAAGAATGTGGGCCATGCCAGGCTAGACTATCACACCTACAGGTTTGCATGAAAGTTGGCAATGGGGGCAGACTGAGTAGCACCCATCAGTGAGAATTGTTAGGGCTGGGGCTAGGCTAGGCTGTAGCATCCAATGGAAAGAGCCAAGACAGGGTCAAGGTCCTGCCAGGCTGGGTCAGAGCAACCACCAGCACATGCAAGATCTGTGGCTGGTTGTAGTCCTGGTAAGGAAGCTAAGGGGATGGGCCTCCCTGCTGGGCTGTGGTTTCTACTGGTGAGCGCAAGAACCAGGAATGGGCTGGGCTAGCTACAACATCCCTTGGTATTTGTTGTGGGCTGGGTCAGAGTGGGCTAGGCTCCAGCATCTACTGGTGTCCATGAAAGTCAGAGTGGGTATAGGATGGGCTGGGCTAAATCAGGACACCCACTGATCTACATGCGATCTGGGTCTGGGGATAGGCCAGGCAGGGTGGGGCTGTAGCAACCAATGGTGAGAGCCAGAATGGGTGTAGGTCTGGCAAGGCCACAGCACCTGCCAGTGAATGTCAGGACAGGAGGTAGGCCAAGTCAGGCTAAGCCAAACACCCACCTAGTGTGTGCAAGATCCATGACTAGGAGTTGCTTTGATAGGGGAGCTCGGGCACTCCCATGTAAAGATGCAGCTCCTGCTGGTGAGTAAGACAACTGAGGCTGGGGGCAGTCCAGGCCAGGCTGGGATACCGTGCCCATAGGCATTCATGTGGGTCAGGTCTAGGGTGGGCTAGGCTGGGCCAGTCTGCAACACTCACTGGCAGCCGTGAGAGTCAGGATGGGGTACAGGTCAGGCCAGGTTGGGATTCCACACCTACCAGTTCATATTAGGGCTGGGACTGGGGGTTGTCCAGGCTAGGCTAGGCTGCAGCACCCCACAGCAGGAGCTGGAACTGGGGGCAGGCTGGGTAGAGCAAGGCTGTAGCACCTACCGGTGAATGTCGAGGTGAGATGGATCATGCCAGATTGGGCTGCAGCACTCAGAGACATACATAAGACCCCAGGCTAGGAGTGAACCTGGTAGGGGCATTGCAGGGCTCCCTTGCTGTGAGTGTGAGAGCTGGTCCTGAGGGGATACCAGGCTGGGCAGGGCTGCAACAACCATTGGCCTGCATATGGACTGGGTTTGGGGGAGGGCTGGACTAGGGCAGGCCACTATATCTGCTGTGCTGATAAGCCAGGATAAGTGCTGATTGGCTAGGCTTTGTGCCAGCATCCACCTGCAAGTGATGGCACAGGGTGCAAATTGTGTTAGACTGCACTGCAGTAACCCCAAGAAAGTGCAAGATCTGGGATTGGGACTGGGCCTAGTAGGAAAACTGTGGGCATTCCTTTGCTGAGCTGCAGCTCCTGTTGGCTCGCATGAGAGTTGGGGCTGGGGCCAGACCAGGTGGACATGACAGCAGCACCAGTCAGCATACATGTAGATTGGGTTGTGGTAGGATGGGCTGAACTAAGCTGCCACATGAATAGGTATATAAGACAGCCTGACTGGGATGTGGCTGGCACAAACTGGACTAGTCTGCTGCACCTGCTGGCACACACAGGAACAGGGGCTGGGGGTGATCCTGGTGGGGATTATTGGGGGTCGCCCCAGCTAAGCTCCAGGTCACACTGATGTGTGTATTTCTTCTAACAAATTGTCTTTGTTTTTTTCCCTTTCATCTGTTCACCTTATGTGGGCCAACTCAGAAAATGCTATTCTAACTTCTCGTTAACTCTCCTACCAACCCACTAGATGAGGATTGCAATACCCTCTTAGATGATTCTCAGGACTGTCTCGTCCCCCAGATGTTGGGCTTGAGTGCTGTCACCATGTAACTCACCCAACCTGATGCTTCCCGGTCTATCTCATCATCTCTGTTCACCTTCTTTGCTCTGGTTCCTGATTCTGCTGTATCTCAGCCAGCACTAAGCAACTGTGTTCCTAGGCTCTGATTGCATAGGTTATGAAGGCACCAAGAGTCATTAGAAAGGCAGAGAGACAGGTAGGGAGAGAAGTAAGGGGCATCCTCTAAGGGTAGGGTCGTTCTGTGTACAAGGTAGACAACAGATAGGTAGTGAGGAGGAACCAGAGGCTGAAACACCATGGCGCCATGTTGAGTAAGAACTCAGATCCCCGAAAATGGCTTCTTACCCAGTGAACACAGTTCTTGAGAATCCATGGTTAAAGTAAACCATGGACGTTCTTAGGTAGGAGTAAGTGATGCTAGGCTTGCTACTCAGCTGATTATTTTTTTTTTATTATTTACCCAGCCTTTCAGATCTCTAAAATGAAAACAAACCCAGGTTTCACAGAGAAAAAGGGAAGGGCAAGGAAGAGAACAGGAGGCCGCCAGCCCCTGCTGCCTGGGAGGCAGCCACGAAGGCCAGCCTTCTACAGTTGCCAAGCAACCATAAACAGCGCAGGATCATGGCCACTAACTACAGTGCCAACCAGGTAAACTCTTTTTCTGCTTTTTTTAAATTGTTGTGTTTTGGTTTCTGTGTCTCTGAATTGACCTCCACCATCAGCAATGTGATTATCCAGTAGTTGAGAGAGTACAGGGAGGGCACAGAGGCAAACACCAGGAATCTATGCGTGAAACCACGAGGGTGTGAACCAAAAGCCAGCAACCTGTTTCTGTAACAGGCCACAGCACTTGGAGGGGTTGAGGGTCTTCAAAAAGTTCATGGGAAATGTATGTTATGAAAAAGCTATGTATGGATTTAAAAATGTCTAGCCAAAAAGAAACAAATCTTTTATAATTCTTTCAACCCACTACCCTTCTAAAGTATCCTCTGAATTTAGGCTTGTGGGCCAAATAACAGTCACAATAGTTATGTAGGTACTTACATAATGAGAGAAAACTTTTTTTCTGTAAGACTGTTGGACAAAAATTTGACAAAATATTATGGAGTATAATTGTGGCATAATGAAAACAGCTGAAGCCTTTCGGGCGTAAAACATTTTGTGTAACTGGAATTCCAAGTTAAGTGCTCCCTTTTATCAAGCCAACTGCAAGTGCTTACCTGTGAAAACCATTCTCCTATCTGAAGCCGTTTAAAAATGGCCATCCCTGTGGATGTAGCCCATGTGTCAGCTTACCAAGTCCGGATACAGAGCCGGGCAGCCCAAAAAAGAGTATGTAATTTACAAATTACAACTGTAATTTTCTAGTAGCTATATAAAATTTTTTAAATTAACTTTAATATTAACTCAAAATATTATTTTAACAATATTGTAAAGGTTAGAAACAGATGATCCACATTCTTTTCTGTACAATCTTTAAAATTTAGCACATTTAAAATTTATTTTCATTTAATTTGAAAGGCAGAGACGAGAACTTTTCCATCTGCTGGTTTACCCCCTAAATACCCACAACAACCAGGGTTGACCCAGACCAAAGTCAGGAGCCCAGAGTTCAATCTGGCTCTTCCATGTACTTAAACCATCTTCTACTGTCTCATAGGTTGCACATTAGCATGAATCTGGATGGGAAGTGGAGAAGCTGGGACTTGAACACTGCGATGTGGGAGGCAGGCATCCCAGTGCGGTTCTAACTGCTGTGCCACAATACCCACCCAATCCAGTGCATCTGATCTGATCTTTTTCTTGTTTTTAAAGATTTATTTATTTTTATTGGAAAGTCAGATAAACCAAGAGGAGGATAGAGAGGAAGATCTTCTATCCACTGTTGCATTCCCCAAGTGGTCACAACAGCTGGAGCTGAGCCAATCCAAAGCCAGGAGCCAGAAGTTTCTTCCGGGTTTCCCACAGTGCAGGATCCCAAGACATTGGGCCGTCCTCAACTGCCTTCCCAGGCCACAGGCAGGGAGCTGGATGGGAAGTAGGGCCACCAGGATTAGAACCAGCAAACATATGGGCTCCTGGCACATGCAAGGTGAGGACTTTAGCTGCTAGGCTATCACACTGGGTCCTCAGCGCATCTGATCTTACCAGGCACCTCAGTCTGGACTAGTTACATGTCAAAACCTCAAAAGGCACATGTGGTGACTGGCTCCTGGTTGGACAGCGACATCTCACCCAAAAGACTACACCACTGTTAAAATCAGTAGCAATGTCATTGTTCAGACTTTGGATTTTCAAAACCAAAGACCTAGGCCTACCATTTTTTCTGGGTGTGGGCCTGTGACTTCCCAGCACTGTTTGTCTTTGTCTCCCCACAGTATGAAAAAGCCTTCTCACCCAAGTATCTGCAAAACTGGTCTCCTGCCAAGCCAACAAAAGAGGTATTTCCATATACGGTTACTAATTCTGTCTAGCATGCTAACTCCGTCATCTGACTGCCTGTAGCTGTCTCTCGACTCCTACACCCTCCTCTCCCCCTTCCCTAAATTCAAGTTCCTCAGTTACTTCCTTCCTCTCTCACTCACGGGCACTTCTCTCCCCCATGGCTCCCTCAGAGAATCTCTTCCCATGAAGGCTACACCCAGTTTATCGCCAATGACCGTGGTCACCTGCTGCCCTCGGTGCCCCGTTCCAAGGTGAGCCCTATCAGGAGACACAGAGGACTGGGGCACAGCACTTGGGGACTGCGCTATCTCATCAGCGAAGTTCAGCGTAACTCATGTTGCAGTGTGGATGTTCCCAAACTGCTAACTGGTTTATGGACCAGGATGGGGTGTGTTAGCACTCAGAAACCCTTAACCCCATGGGCCATCTCCGTGAGACAGCGTTCTCAGGTTTTGATGCTTGGGCTGTTAGGCAAAACCAGGGACCCGCGACCATACAGGGGCCCAAGAACTTAGGCCATCTTCCGCTGCCTCTCCAGGCACATCAGCAGGGAGCTGGACTGGAAGCAGTGCTGCATCATGTGATGCTGGTGTGGCAGGCAGCGGCTTGCTTTGCTGTGTCACAACCCTGGTCCCCAGAATGCAGAATAGAAGTTGTTGGAGGGAAGTAAAAGACAAAATTAGGGTACCCTAGAGGAGGCAGGGTAGGAAGAGTAGGGGAGATGGTGCTTTCAATCTTTATTATCATAGAAAAGTAACTCGGGGAAAAAGGACAAACACTGGTTCTGCCAACACGTCAGTTTGGGGAGGGGAGGACCTGTGTGAAGAAGCTCTTTTTCCCCTTAGGCAAGCCCCTGGGGTTCCTTCCTGGGCACATGGCAGATGCCGCTGAAGGTCCCCCCTGCCCGGGTGACCCTGACTTCCCGGACAACTGCTGCTGCTGACTCCCTCACCACGTGGATACAGAAAAACCCGGACTTACTCAAGGCCTCGAATGGGCTGCGCCCTGAAATCCTCGGCAAGGTATCTATTTTCCCATTTAACCCCAAACCATGTGGTCTCCATTGCATTATGCCCTAAAAACAAAACCAAAGTCTGATGTTATACCACTGCTGTCCCAGCAGAGGGAACCTCTAACCAGGTCTCTTACCTGGTGTGGTCATCTCCTTCTGAGCCTGACCCAATGAACGAAGGTCATCTTATCCTTATAGCAGAAAATAACCTCACCTTAAGATTGTAAAGGAATCAGATGTAACTACTCTTACTTGAGACCTGTTTTGTCTGTGCATGGGGGTGGAAGGGGCTTAGACTTGTGAAGTGGCCTGGAAACAACCTGGGCCTGACTAGGAACCTGTTGCTCTCCCCCTCCCCTCCAGCCCCATGATCCAGACAGTCAGAAGAAACTCAGGCAGAAGTGTGTCACAAAGACGGTAAAGCAAGCACCAAGCGCCACCATAATCCCAAGCTCTCCAGCTGCCGACCTCAACTCTCCAGATGAGCCCCAGAGCCCCCACCCCTCTGCAGGGCACACACCAGGCCCCCAAAGCCCAGCCAGCTGTCCCAAGAGCCCCCCCGGAAGCCCATGTGTGCAGGAGAACTGAGCAGGTCCTCACTCAGCTGAGATGGGAAATGCGCAGCTGGAACTCCATCAGAGACCCAGGGCCACACCCAGGAAACCTGTCAGGAAGTGAAGTCAACAAGACTTCCAGGCAGGAATGTGGGGCAGAAAAGCTACGGGATGAGAGTAAAGGCCAATTTGGAAAATAAATTGTTTGTGAAATCCCTTACTGATCTGAATTTTCTCCTCTGGTTGCGTGTTTGCTTCGTAACTCTTTAGGAGAAGGTAGGTTTTGTGGGAAATAGAATAAGGAAAAGAACATTGCTGGGGCTTGGGGAGTGGTGGGGGGCACGTTTCTGCAAGAAACAAATCAGTTATACTACAGAAATGATGGAAACAGGTCTGAATGAAGAAAAAGGCAGCGCATCCAAGAACCAGTCCTACACTGCCACCCTTTCATTTTGTCCTGAATGTGCGCACATGACAATTTTAAAATCAGAAGTAGAATTTAGTATTTTATGTGTATTTATTGAATGTGGGGAAGAAAAGCCACAGAACTCCAAAGTACAAGCCACCGTCCTTGCATGTACTTCAGATGTAAACAGAAGTACATGCAAGCATATCTCAAAACATCCCCATAAAAAATGGAATACAAAGATAAGCACTGGAGCTGGCCATGTGGTAACAGGTGGGGCAGGGCCAAGTGGGAAGCAGAAGCCTGAAACCTGCCTAGGTCTCCCACGTGCGTGGCAAGGACCCGAGTGCTTGAGTTCTCACCTGCTGCCTCCTGGGATGCATGTCGGCAGGAAACTAGATGAGAAGCGGAGCTGAAGCTTGAACCCAGGTACTCCACTGTGGGATGCAAGCATCATCTTTATTCTGATTTTTAAAAAAGATTTCATTTGAACTGGTAAGGTTACACAGAGACAGGCAGTGAGAGAGAGATCTATCTTCGTCCACTTGTTCACTCTCCAAATGGCCAAAACGTTGGGATCCCATATGGGCGCTGGTTCTAATCCTGGCAGCTCCACTTCCCATTCCAGTTCCCTACTTATAGCTTAGGAGAGCAGTCAAAGACAGCCCAAAACCTTGGGACCCTGCACCCGTGTGGGAGACTCAGAAGAGGCTCCAGGCTCCTGGCTTCGGATCACCTCAGCTCCGGCTGTTGCGGCCGCTTGAGGAGTAAATCAATGGATGGAAGATCTTCCTGTTTCTCCAATAAAAATAAATAAACCTTTTAAAAAGTGACTGGAAAACAAAGAAGAAAAAGAGATTGATAGGGAGAAATTTGAGAGTGACATACATGATGCTCTGTCACATTTCTTTACCCTTTGATCACCAGAATGGAAAGAAGCCACAAAAAAGCAGTCCATTTCCAACATCTGTTCATCCTTGGCCCCAGTCTACAACTTCCTGGCACTGACTGGCTTGTTAAACTTTATGTCTTCACCAAACCTTTCCCACTTCCAGTGTCAGAGTGCGTCCTTGGGAACTCTTCTGTCTCACCTCAAGGACAAGGTGAAGGGCAGCTGGTGTGAAGTGGACACAGACCACAAGAACCTCTCAGGGCCAGTCTGGCAAGAAGGGGTCATTACATAAAGCCAGGATCCCGAGGGTTGGGATGAAGATGAAGCAGCAGGCCCCCATTCTCTCAGCTTAAATAAGGTCTTCCTGTGTAATCGAAACCAACTAACATCAGTGTGATTCCTTTTCATTTCAACCCATGACTCTAATTAGTTAGGCGACAACTCAGAGTGACAAAGTGGATCTCTTCCTACTCCAGAGTTTCCAAAGACTATCAAAGTGGTACTCCTTTGGGATCCACAAGCCTGGCCTATATGGTCTATAAAAACAGCAGGCTTTCCTGTTAAATATTAAACTTTCCTATTAATGCTCTCTCCACATACTCTTAAATCTCCTTTCTCCCCATATTCTTAGGTCCATGTCCCTTAGCTGTTATCTTCACTGGACCCCCACATCCCCCCCTGGATAATTTTCTGGCCTTTATCCTGAAGATGATAACTAGTCTTCAGTGGGATCTGGAGCCTGCCATAACCAAAGAGCGCTACAGGCTTAACTTCCTTTCCCCTCCTTTTTCTGAGACTTTTCTGTGATATTTAAATCTCTGGCTACTTGGACAAGCATTTCATTCCCTGAAAATTTTTCCAGTGGTCAGCTGGAGGACAAACTCCTGGGAAAGGTCAGCTAGGGGGTGTAAATGCCCGGGACCTGAGAGAGGGGGAGGGAACTGGCTCCCCAACAGCCATTCATTTGGTCTCTAGATTTCAAGAAGAGTCAGAGATAAAATGAATATTTTAATTCCACTTCAGAAAAGGATGGTATATGAGCTTAGATAGAAAACATGACATTAAGAGTTTTGTTTTTCTGTAAATCAAGAAAAAAAATAATCTTTAATATATTCAACAATCATTTTCTGGGTCTTTGTCTTGCATCAAAAGCTATATATCTTGTTTCTAAAGCATCTGCCCAAGAACCAAGTCACCCGTTTTATCTCCTTCTAGCTGGACAGGTCAATCCCTCCAACCTCCCATCTTTTCTTTCAGTCACACTGTGTGGGTACAAAAGGCCCTGGGCTCTGACCAATGAACAGGGTTGTCCTTTAAGCCAACAACCCACAGGCAGTGGCACCCAAAGTCTCAACCCCAGTCCTCAGAGCAGAGGCCACAGAGCTGGCATTGTTTCCTCTTCTCGGGAAGAAGGAGCCAAAAGCTGACCCTCAGCACATATCAGCCAAGTATGGAGAGGGGATCAGGGCTCTGAGGCCCAGAGTAGGCTGTGAGCTGTGGGCAGGACAATCAAATTTTTGCAGCTACTCCATCTTTAGAAACAAGGCGGGAGACTGGGTCCTATCCCTCTGCTATGGTTCTACCAGCTACCCTACTGCTCTAGAGCTCCATGGGGATCTGCGAGCACAGAAAGAATAAACAACCCAGACAGGAATGACAAACAGGAATATAAATCAATGATATAATTTGTAGGAAGATGATGCTAGGAACTTTAGCTCTTCACATGGCTGCCAGCCCTAAAGAGGTCAACACAGTAAGAACCAGGACAACCACTCCAGACTGGTACAGCTGGGGGATCTTCAGACCTTTTCCAAGGTCCCACATCTGCAGAAAAAGAAGGAAAATAATGATCAGGACCCTGGTCCCACAGCTCCTTTCTTAGAGAGTAATTCTCCCTCACTGGATAGCTACCTTCTTTCAGTGTGACTCCAGAGAAAAGCAGATCTATCCTTACACTCTGCCTTTACTCTTCTCAAAACCCACACTATGCACCTACCACCCACTTCTCCCGAAGACAGGAAATCAAGCCCCACTGTGTGGTGGTTGTTAGAGGGACCACAACACTAGATACTACAGTTCCAAAACTGAACAAATAAAACTGCTTCTTGTGCCAACAACACTATCAGATCAATGTTTTGCAAAGTGTATTCCTTCAAAAACTAGTTCTGAACAATGCTGAAAGGCATTATATGAAGGAAAAAGTTTTGCAGTCAAATAAATTCAGTAAATACTTAACTGCAATACTATTCAAATAATTTATTAAAGTACACTGTAAATCTATAAATAGGGAATACGGCATACATAACTTCTTTTTTATTTAAACATTGACACATAAAAATGATACATATTTGGGCCAGGCATGGTAGTCTAGTGGCTAAACTCCTAGCCTTGAATGTGCTGGGATCCCATATTGCTGTCGGTTCTAATCCCAGCAGCTCTGCTTCTCATCCAGCTCTCTGCCTGAGGCCTGGGAAAGCAGTTGAGGATGGCCCAAAGCCTTGGGACCCTGCACCCGTGTAGGAGACCTGCAAGAGGCTACGGGCTCCTGGCTTTGGATCTGTGCACCTCCAGCCATTATAGCTACTTGGGGAGTGAATCATTGGATAGAAGATCTTCCTCTCTATCTCTCCTCCTCTCTGTATATCTGACTTTCTAATAAAAAAAACCATAAATCTTTTAAAAATTATATATATTTATGAAATTCTACGTGTTAATTTTTTAGATACAGTTAATGCTGTTTAGAGGGAATATCTGTGTATCACAGGACTAATATTCTAAAGAATATTTTGTGGGATTTAGAAGACTGTTCAATTTTGCTTGGATTATGACTCCACTAAGAAGCATCTTTCAGGTGTGGGCATTTAGCTCGACAGTTAGGAGGACAGTTAAGATACTGATGTCCCATGTCAGAGGAGCTGGGTAGGACGCCCAGCTCTGGCTCCCGACTCTAGCTTCCTGCTCAGGTACCCCCTTGGCGGTAGCGGTGATGACTCAAGCAACTGGGTTTCTATCACATAACCTGGATTGAGTTCAAGGCTCAGGGCTTCATCCCTATCCAATTGCAGCCATTGTGGGCATTTGGGAAGTGAAGCAGTAGACTGGAGCTCTCAATGTAACAAACTCATTGCCTCCGAAAAAACTTGTAAAAAGGAAACATCTTTTAAATTGGAACATAGTAGATATATATAATACAGTAAAACTTAAATAGCCAAATTTATTTTTTAAAGGTTTATTTTTATTTATTTACTTGAAAGGCAGTTACAGACAGAGAGCGTAAGACAGACAGACACACACACACAGAGCAATCTCCTATCTGCTGTTTCACTCCCCAAACAGCTGCACTGGCTGGAAGCCAGACCTATGCAAAGCCAGGAGACATGAATTTTTTCTAGGTCTCCCATGTGGGTGCAGGGGCCCTAGGACTTGCGCCATCGTGTGCAACTTCCTCATGTGCATTAGTAAGAAGCTGGCTTTACTTGCTAAACCACAGCACTGGCCCCTTCTATCCTATTTAAATTTATTGTGGGTAATAACCCACTAAGTTGATTTTCTACCCACTGGGTTAAAATCCACATTTTAAAAGCACCAGACTCTCTTGTACCCTAGGTATATTAACATACTATTTATTTAAGTCATTACAAGAGTCTGTAGGGTTAGGCACAAGGTTGTTGGGGAGGTGGTGGTGTGAACAGGACAGTCTCCTGAATGGTAGATATCCTGTAACCTCCTGCTCTTGTACATCCGGGCCAGAAACTCTAACCGTCCGTCATAAGAAACACATAAAAATCCCTGACACCCCGGGTTACAGCCAGTACTTGTTAGAAGCAGCAGCAGCAGCAGATTTAAGGGCTTAAGAAAAGCCATTAAGAAAAGCCTTTAGGCTCCTCATTACTCTCAACAGATTACCCAACTCAGGATAGAGAAGCCCTGAGTTCTGGGATTTCACAAACCTCCTCCTCTTCCCTCCCCCAATACTGAGACAAAAGCAAATCTCTGGTCCCCGCCCACCCCCTCCCTCAGCCAGGCTCCCAAGAGAGGAAGCTGATCAGCTGATTTTCATGAGAGAGCTTTGTTTGTGGAGCAAGAAGTCATTAATGCAAATACCTTCTCTCTCCACCCTCTACCCCTCAGTGAAGTCATTTTAAAATTTAAACTGTCCCAGGGAACAGCTGACAGATATACTCAATAAGTCACTCAGTCCCGGGTTTTTATTCCATTAAGCAGTCTACTGGACTAGATCCAACCTCAGGAAGTGCTTGTGTCCAAGTCTCTATGTGAAAGTTATAAAGGTCAGATCAAAGCAAAAGGATCAGCAGTTGGCTGAGGTTCAGAAGTCATGGAAAAAAAGGAATGTCCACTGTCTTCTTGAAGAAGGATCCAAGACATGAAATCATGAAATACCAAATTGCTAGAAGAGGGATTGCTGGCATGCAGTGGGCTTGGTTAAGCTTTCACTCCTTTCAAAAGGAAAGAAAGTTGCCAGTTTAGAACTGACTCCCAGGTTGTGCAGGAAGCTCAGCGCCAGTTCTCAATTCACCAAAAAATCTCTAAACTCAGGACTAAAACCTGAGCTCCGTGGCGCCCAATGTCTACCGAAGTTAACCATTGTCTCCAGATAGTCAAAACGATAAAGAACAGCCAGCTCATATCTAACACCAAAATTACAAAAGTTAACAAACTGAGTTTGGCCAGATAGGAATGTCATTTATTTACAGTTGTTACTGTTCTGTTCCTTTGTCTTTGACAAGAATGTTAGCAAACATGTTTAGCTCATGACTGAATCCTCAAGGTCTAGAACAATCCTTGACATATAACAGGTAAGAATATTAACCTAATAAACAAGCTCTCTATTCCAGACCTAATACCTGGCTTCAGAAGTCTCTTTAATAACATCTCCTTAAAAACATCTCCTTAAAATCACATGGAAACCCTGCAAGGATCTGCTTGGCCAAACCCACTGCTCGGCTGTGTACCAGCAGGGCTGCTCCTGGATGTGCAGCGGGTCTTGCTTAGCTTTCCCCAGCAGGATCTGCTAAAGATCCAGTACAACACCCCTTAAAAGTAACACTAAACCCAGCAATTTGAAGGAAAACAGTGAGCCTCTGCACACCCCTCACCCCTGACCCAGAACACAGAAATCCACAACTGACTCACCAGGTGCCGGACGCCATTCCAGGTGTGATACATGAGAGGGAAGACCAGTGTGAACTTGGCCGTGTGGATCAGCGCAGGCCCCAGGGACAGGGACTGCACAAGGGCCAAATGGGACTCAAAGTTTCCAGGGAGCAGTAGGGCCGACAGGCCAAACAGAGAGACCCCTAAGGAAAAAACCAAGCGGTCATCAACAGCTGCCCCAAAAGTTACAATTAATATAATGCCCAATGCTGTTTATTCGCTGCCCTCCCGCCACCACCTCATTCCCTCATAAGCCATTTTGAAATGCAGAGAATTTAAACTCATGTTCAAGATGATTGTGACAGGTTACTCGGGATCTGAGATCAATCTAAACTTGCCATGTTTCAGTACATTATTCCTTGTGTCAACATCCTCTTCATAAAAACCTTACTTTGTCAGTTAAAAAGGCATGCTTGCTGTGTCTATATCATCTCAGCAAGGAAGAAGCATATATTTAGTGAAGAATATTTCAAATCATTCATACAAAAAAATCAAAATCGATCAGAGATTTAAAAGAGCGAGCTAAAACAACAAATTCTTAGAAGAAACCATGAAGGGCCCAGTAAGCGAGGTGGCTAAAGTCCTTGCCTTGCACACCTGGGATCCCAAATGGGTGCTGGTTTGTATCCTGGCTCCTCCACTTCCCATCCAGCTCCCTCTATGTTTGTGGCCTGGGAAAGCAGCGGAGGATGGCCCAAAGCCTTGGGAACTTGCACCCTTGTGAGACCTGGGGAAAACTCCTGGGGGAGTTTCCTAGCTCGTGGCTCTGGATTAGCTCAGCTCAGGCCGTTGTGGCTACTTGGGGAGTGGACCAGCAGATGGAAGATCTTAAAAAAAAAAAAAAAAGAAATTATGGTAATAAATCTTCACACAATCTTGGATTAGACTGTTATTTCTTTTTCCTTTTTTTTTTTTTTAAAAAAAAAAAGATTTATTTTATTTTTATTGGAAAGTCATATACACAGAGAGAAGAGACAGAAAGATCTTCTGTCCATTGATTCTCTCCTCCAAGTGGCCACAACAGACAGAGCTGAGTCAATCCAAAACCAGGAGTCAGGAACCTCTTCCAGGTCTCTCACATGGGTGCAGGATCCCAAGGCTTTGGGCCATCCTTGACTGCTTTCCCAGACCACAAGCAGGGAGCTGGATGGGAAGTGGGGCTGCTGGAATTAGAACTGGTGCCCATGAGATGCTAGCGCATGCAAGGCAAGGACTTTAGCCACTAGGCTACCATGCTGGGTCCTAGGAAGTGGTTTCTTAAAAATGACCCCCAAGGGCAGCTCTGGGCACTTTAGTTGCTGTTTTCCATCACTCTGTGGCCCCTGTGCTGCCCCAGCTTGCAATGTCAGGTCCCACAGGGGACCTGGGCATGCTTGTGGATGCAGGTATGGATGCCAGCTTGGGGAAGCAGAAAATGTTGCCATCAACACCATACTAGATCAGATGACTCAGTCCTGGACCACCTGGAGAGCAAGAATGCCCATCTGTGCAAACTGCTCAATCTAACTGGCAGGTGTACCTCGAGTCCCAGTATTAACTTGAGCAGGTACCCAGGGATGCCAGCCCCGGGCACTCATCACTTGGCTCAAACACCCCCTCATGGGCTAGCTTTTTGCCCCTGTGGGCCTCACCCTACTGCCCAGCATGTCCTCCTGGAGCCAAGGGTGAGCCTGCTACCATCCACTCACTTCCCTTCCTGCCCAGGCCTGGAATGTGCATACATTAAATGGGTCTGTGGCTCCAAAAAAAAAAAAAAAAAAAAAAGAGCCCCCAAACCTAGGTGACAAAAAAAAAAAAAGCTGTTCTGCAAATAATGCCATGAAGAAGGTAACAACACAACTCATAAGAACAGTAGAAAATAGTTGCAATGTCTAACAAGGAAATGTATAAAGAATTCTTAACACTCAATAATAAAGGATTAAAGGGCATGGGTATTTGTCACAGCAGCTTAAATTACCATCTGGGACACCCATATCCTTTCTCAGGGTGCAGAGTTGGAGTTTGGCTTCTCTGCTTCTAACCCAGTCTGCTGCTAACATGATTCCTAGGAAGTAGGAGAGCAGAGACCCAGAAGGAGTTCTGGGTTCTTGGCTTTGCCCTGACCCAGCTCTGGCTGCTGTGGGCATCTGGAAAGCGAACCAGTGGACAAAAAAATCTCTCTCTCACACTTTAAATGAAATAAAAATTTTCGAAAAAAAATTATGAATGGGAGCAGACATTCAGCTTAATGGCTAAGACACCCCATCTAGGCTCAGTGCCCTATTCCCAGTACCAGTTTCCCACCAACGCAGACTGGGCGATGGGGTGGGGGTATGCAACAGTGAGAGCTCAAGGAATCAGATTCCCGCCTCCCATGTGGAAGACCGGGATTGCGTTCCTAGTTCCCAGCTCTACCACCAGCTCAGGCCACTGCAGGCACTGGGGAAGCAAATCCGTTTTCTAACTCTTAAAATAAGTCAAAACAAAAATGACAATGGGCAAAGGATCAAACTGATATCTCTCCAAAGAAGTAAATGAGTATGAAAAAAAATCCTCAACATCATAAATCATTAGAGAAAATTAATTCAAAATCATAATGGAAATTATTTCACATATACTATAATGCTCTGTCTCTAGTTATATAATTTATGTAAATTTATATAAAATATTTAATAATGTAAAATGGTAGTTACTTTGGAAAACAACATATCCCCTCCAAATATTAAACATTATTATGTAAGCATTCTTAGATGTACACCCAAAAGAAATGAAACACATGCCTATACAAAAACTTGTACAAAAATGCATATGGAAGCACTGTACCAACAGCCAGAGTGCACACAATGCAAGTGTCTATCAACTGTGACCCAGGGAGTAGGGCCCATACAAACAATGGGATACAGACTGGCCACAGAAAGAAATAAAGTACCAATACATGCATTAACCTGGATGGCCTTTGAAAAACATTACCCCAAGTGAAAAAAGTCAATTAGAGAGGATCACATATTATATACTCCATTTATACAAAATGTTCATTCCAGGTAATTCTACATATAGTTAAATGGTTGTCTAGCGTTTGAGGAAGATCGGCGAGAAATCTGGAGTGACTGATATTGATACTGGACTTTTTTTTTTTAAAAAGTTTTATTTATTTTTATTGGAAAGTCATATATACAGAGAGGAGGAGAGACAGAGAGGAAGTCCTTCCTTCTGCTGGTTCACTCTCCAAGTGGCCGCAATGGCCAGAGCTGAGCCAAACCAAAGCCAGGAGCCAGGAACCTTCTCTGGGTCTCCCATGCGGGTGCAGGGTCATCCCAAGGCTTTAGGCCATCCTTGACTGCTTTTCCCAGGCCACAAGCAGGGAGCTGGATGGAAAGTGAAGCAGCTGGGTCTTAAGTCTGAGCCTGCCCACATGGGATTCCTGCTGCAGGTAGTGGCTTAGCCAGCTATGCCACAATGCTGCCTATACTGGCAGTGCAGACCCCTCAAAACTTCTCTACTTTGGAAAGTTGTGTTAAGAGTAGATGGCACCTTAGGAGGAGGCAGCCAGTGCTAATCTTTATTAATAACTAAACAATCTAAAAATTGGGAAAACAAAGCTGCTGAAGCTGTCCATTCTAATCATTGTAAAAAAGTAAATAGTACTTTTGCTTGGCTGTCAAGAGCAGCCCCAGCTTGCTCCATCACAAGTCAGTGCTGCATACGGAGCAGTGCACATGGTGCAGATGGCCAGCAAGCTCTGTTAGCACTTGCCGAGCCATCCAAAGCCCTTTCAGACAATATCCCAGTTAGTGCTGCGCAAGCTACTGCAAACCAAAGTGAAAACTTCTCAAGGCCTTGGCAAAGTTGAAGTGGTGATTACAAGCCAGCCTGACTGCACCTGATCGCTTTTACACCGAACATCACACGTATCTCACCAGGCTGTATTCTGCTATCTGCATTTCTGCAACCTCTCTTGGGGTCGGGTATACTCATGTACTGAGGCGAAGTAAAGTGCTCCACAGAACAATTATCTCAAGACAGTTTTCAGGTCAGCTTATCTCAGTAACAACTGATGCGTAACACGAAGCAGAAAAGGCTGAGCGTGAGATGCTAATTACAAATCATCAGACATTTTCTCAGAGGTACAGGATTAACTATTCTAATTTTTAATGCAGATAATGATCACCACCAGGCCTGTGTATTATTATACACTATGATATTTCTTCTGGTAACAAAAATCCAAGGCTCAAAAAAATGAAATTAAAATTACCAAATCAGGGCCCGGCACAGTAGCTTAGTCACTGAAGTCCTCGCCATGCATGTGCCCGGGATCTCATATGGGCGCCGGTTCGTATCCCAGCAGCCCTGCTTTCCATCCAGCTCCCTGCCTGTGGCATGGGGAAGCAGTGGAGGATGGTCTAAAGCCTTGAGACCCTGCACCCTGTGGGAGACCCAGAAGCTCTTGGCTCCAGATTAGTTCAGCTCCAGCCGTTGCAGCCACTCGAGAGTGAACCAGATCTTTCTCTCCATCTCTCCGCTCTGTAAGTCTGCCTTTCCATTAAAAATAAACAAATAAATACATAAAACAACATCTCATTCCTTGGTCTTGATGTTTTCCATTTTCATACTCCTGTTGTCACCAGGACCCACCCCAATCTTTTTAACTCCAAATAAGCAGGTCAAACCTAAAAAGCAGTAGCCACTCAAGTGTTGTGTCTATCAACCACAGCACAAGGTAGTTAAGGCAAGTGGAGCTTAGAAACTGACTGTTGAGGATGGGTGCGTGGGTACACATATCCCATTTTATAAAGTTGTATTTTATTTTTCATTAACACAAAATAATTACATGTTCTAGGGCACAGTGTGATGTTTCAGTGTAGGTCCATACTGTGTAATGATCAACTCAGGGCAAACAGCATTTCAACATTTACAACCTCTTTCTGGTGGGAACATTGAAATGCTCTGTTCTGATTATGTTAAATACATAATTCATTACTGTTAACTGCAGCCACCCTGATCTAAAACTTTGAAACTACTAGAAATACTTCATGATAGCTGATTTGGGCAAGGATCTATCAGACAGGACTTCAAAAGCACAGGGAAAGGAAACAATCAACAGACAACTTATGACCTGACAAGAGATTGATATCTAAAATGGACAAGAAGTTCAAACAATTCAATAGCAAGAAAACAAATAATTGAACTTAAAAATGAACTGAAGACCAGGCCTAGTATGAGAGCTCAATTGGATAATTTTCCCCCTGCAAGTGCTAGGATCCCAAATGGGCACTGGTTTATATTCTAACTGCTCTAGTTCCCATCCAGCTCCTGCCTGTGGCTTGGAAAAGCAGCAGAGGACAGCCCAAAGCTTTGGGACCCTGCACCCACATGGGAGACCCAGAGGAAGCTCCTGGCTCCTGGCTTCAGATTGACTTAGCTACAGCTATTGTGACCATTTGGGGAGTGAACCAACAGATGGACGATCTTTCTGACTCTCCTTCACTCTGTAAATCTGACTTTGCAATAAAAATAAATAAAACTTTAAAAAATGGGCAAAACACCAAAAATGTTTGTTGTAATGATGATTTAACTAAATAAGATATGTATTAACCAAATACAGCCCATAGGCTGCCAATGTATGCCCTGAAATAGAATACAATGCTGCTCACTAGCTTTCTGTTTCACTTAATTTTTAAATAATGAGATTTTCTTATTTCTTTGAAAGGCAGAGTTACACAGAGAGGAGACACAGAGGCAGAAGGACACAATGGAGACAGAGATGCAGAGTCTCCCATTCGCAGGTTCCTTTCCCAAATGGCCCCAATGCCAGAGCTGAGCTTACACGAAGTCAGGCACCAGGGGGCTCTTCTGGGTCTCCTATGTGGTGACAGCAGCTGACCCAATGATTTGAGCCGTTCTATGTTTTTTTCCAGGCTAAAAGCAAGGAGTTGAAACGAAAATGGAGAATCTAGGACACAAACTGTATGGGATGCAGGCATCCCAGGCAGAGATTAGACTGCTATGTATGCCATGGCACTATCTTCATTCTTGGACTCCTCTAAGCTTGGGAAAGAGATTATGTATGTACTATCCCTAATTTCAAATGTCTAACAAGAAATTAGTGACAAGGCAGAAACAGCATCCCAGCTGTAGGTAACTGTCTAGGTTGCCTTGTACCTAGGCAAGCATTACACTACTGGAAAAAAAGCAGCCAACAGCTGGTAGCACTCTGGGGCTGGTTAATGCCAAACCTGTGTTAATTATATCAGCACGCCAGCACAGCTGTCTGTTTTATTTATTCATTTTTTAAAGAGTGTGGGGGATTCTGAGTGCCATGGTACTCTAGCAGAAGATGCAAGACAGCAGGCCAGGACATGCCACACCAGCCCCTGGATCCTGCCATGTGTGTGAGGGTGGGTGGGGAGGGCACTAGATTTCCCTGGAAGGGATTCTGGGAACATGCTAGAGTGGAGCCATTAAGGCATATTTGAGAGGTGAGGAGAGACTTCTGAGGGCTTCCACAGACCAGGCCACTGCACTCGCAGGTAGGCGAGGGAGCAGAGACGGAATGATTTAGATGATGGAAGCCAGAGGGCATTTCTGAATCAGGCCAAGGCATTGCACATGTGAGAGACCTGGACTAGATTAAGTAGCATCGCCAACTATGCATCGGTGCACACAAACGTAGCTGGACAGGGGATCATGCCTGGCTGGGCTAGGTCGCAGGACCCACCTGCAAGTGTCAGGGCAGAGGGCAGGCCACATCAGGCTGGGCCACAGCACGCATCAGAATGCAAAAGAACCAGAGATTTGGGAGGTAGATTCTGCACGGCACTGTGGGCCTGCCCTGTAGGACTACAGCACCCACCAGTTTGCACAAGAGCTGGAAGTGGTGACAGGCTAAGCCAGGCTGGACCACAGAACTCACCAACATTTACAAGAGCCTGGGCCTGGGAGGAGGCCAGGCTGGGCCAGGCTGTAGCACCTGCTGGTACATGCAACGGCCAAGACTGAGGTAGATCATGCCAAGCAGGGTACATAGATCGGAGACGGGGAGTGGGCCTGGTAGGGAAACTTCAGGGATCCCTCCCAGGTCTCTCCTTCCACTGGTGAGCTTGAGACCTAGGACTTGGGGCAGGTAGTCCAGGCAGGGCTATAACACCCATCATCTGGCATGTGGGCTGGGTCTGAGGGCAGGCCAGGCTGGGCTAGGCTGTTGCACCCACTGGCACGTGTGAGAACCACAATGGGCACAGGCCGGTTGGGCTAGGTCTCAGCACCCACTGGCAAATGCCGGGACTGGGTGTGAGCCATATCAAGCTGGACTTAGTAAAGCCTGGCAGGTGCAAGACCCAGGCCTGGGAGCGTGCCTGGTAGAGAGAACTGTAGGCACTCCCATTCTAGGCTGCAGCTCCCACTGGTAAGCATAAGAACCAAAGTTAGGGGTGGGCAGGCCAGGCAAGGCCCTAACACATGCTAGTATGTGCAAAAACTGGTCTGGGTTGGCCTGATGGGGGTATAGGGAGTTACCCAACTAGGCTGGTGTGCGTAAAAATCGGACCTGTGGAGGACTGGGCTGGGCTAGGCTGTGATACCCACAGGTTCACTGAGAGATGGGACTGGGGGCAGAACTGATCAGGCAGCTGCATCCACAGGTACGTGTATTGGCTGGAGCAGGTGACAGACTGAACCTGATCCTCTACTTGCTGGTGCACACAAGAGTCAAGTCTGAACTCACCCCAGGAGAGACTTCCTGGGGGCACTCCCAACAAGATAACTGGACTCAAATCCTGGCCACAGGGAAAAACCACAGGATGTATGGTCCAACCTTACAATGCATGTATCAAGACTGGGCTTCCTCAGCTGCTGATGCCTGTGCAGTGCATAGCATGCCCAGATGCACATGGGGGACACAATGGCCAGCTCATTCTAGGTCAGCAGGGGTTGTCAACTGGGGAGCTGGATAGAAAATGGATCTGCTGGGACACGAACTGGTGCTCATATGGGAAGCTGGCATTGAAAGCAGTAGCTTGGGCCTGGCGCGGTGGCGCAGTGATTAAACTCCTCGCCTTGCACGCCCGGGATCCCATATCCCCTTCCCTTCCAGCTCCCTGCCTGTGGCCCGGGAAAGCAGTCGAGGACAGCCCAAAGCTTTGGGATCCTGCACCCGCGTGGGAGACCCGGAAGAGGCTTCTGGCTTCGGATTGGCATAGCATTGGCCGTTGCGCTCACTTGGGGAGTGAATCATCGGACGGAAGATCTTCCTTTCTGTCTCTCCTCTCTGTATATCTGCCTTTCCAATAAAAGTCAAATAAATCTTTAAAAAAAAAAAAAAAAGAAAGAAGCAGCTTGATGTACTATGCCACAATACTGGTTCCTTAAGCATTTCCACCACTCTTGGTTTGCACCTGTTCTGTGCTGAATTACCTTTACTAGAAGAGAGAACACAAGTTCACCAGGAATCTTGTGGAGACCTTCAGAGAACAAACTCAGATTTACCCATTCACCACCCCAATAATTCCTGCGACCCGCTTCTTGCTCCCACTGAATTGAGTGGCTACACTGGCGACCATACATACAGAAAATATCAGTATTGAAACACTAGTGAGATAGCTGATAGAGTCGGGATGCAGAGGAGCAAAGTAAGATACTACCAGAGCCAGAAAACATGAATATGCATTGAAAAAAACTTAGAATACAAGAGGACATCACAAAGTTGGAATGAAATGCAGAATTAAAAAATATGTTTCGGTGCACAAGTTTTTAGAACCCATGCACAATTTGTTCATAATACATCTTTCATAAAAATTTTGATAGATGTAATCTAAGTCCTCTCAGAATGCATACTCCAGTAAAAGAATGAAAATGAACAAGCTGCATGTATCAAAGGCACCAGGTCTAGTTGGTTTTGTTCCCCCTTTTTGGTGGTGTGAAGAAATAATGCATATTACAAAAGGCTGGAGAAAAGCAAAAAAAAGAAAAAAAAAGAAAAGAAAAAAAAAAAAAGGCCAGTGTTGGCAAGAGAAAAACTTTAAATCTCAACTATTAAATGAATGAGTAAACTTAGAAAGACCTATTTCCTTTAAAACTAAGCTGCAAATGGGGCAGTGACATGAGCTACAGAAACAGTAAAGTTCCTCAAAGAAGCCTGAGTGTTTTTGCTTACAACTACACATACATACCTGCACTCAGGGCAACACCGGTGCCACGATGGCAAATGGACATTGCCATGGGAAGAGACCAACTGCAAAGAAACAAAGACAAGTTGAAGAAAGAAAAGATGACAACACAATAGAAAACCCATCTTGGAAAAGAGAATATAAACTAATTTTGAAATAGGCACTCCTTTTAGAAAAATAAAGCAACTCTGATATTCCCATGAATATCAGGCTTCTGGCTTCAGATTGGTATAGTTCCAGGTGTTGCAGCCACTTGGGGAGTGAATCAATGGACGGAAGATCTTCCTCTCTGTCTCTCCTCCTCTGTGTATATCTGACTGTCCAATAAAAATAAAATAAATCTTTAAAAACGATTTAAGGATATTTATTTTATTTTTACTAGAAAGGTAGAATTAAAGAGTGAAGAAGAGGCACAGAGAGAGATCTCCCATCAGCTGGTTTATTCCCCAAATGGCCACAGTGGCTGGAGCTGAGCCGATCTGAAGCCAGAAGCTTCACAAGGTTCTCCTACATGGGTGCAGTGGCGTAAGGTTTTGGGCCGTCCTCTTCTGCTTTCCCAGGCCACAGGCAGGGAGCTGGATGGGAAGTGGAACAGCCTATATGGGTTTTCTATTGTGGGATACGTGGATAGCAGGCATCCATGCACTGGAGCTATCATCCACTACATTCCAGGAGCATTAACAGAACAGAAACTGGAAAAGAGGATAGCTGGGACTCCAACCAGAACTCCAATAATATGGATGCAGCAGGTTTATCACACAATGCCACAATGCCCACCACAAGGATTCCACTTTTCTAATATTAAAGAGAAACACAGATGTATTTCAAGAAATGTGTAACCGTTTTACTAAACTCCATCAAACAGAACTGAAAAAAGGCAATGATTATAACTCAGACAAGTAACATTGATCAAACACACCAATTAAAGTTGGTGCAACTGGAAAACAATCAGAACAAAGCCACTAGTCCTTGTGTTTCTCCAGCTGCAAAATGAAAGAAAACCTAAGTAAATCTTGTTTATCCAGGGTTTCACATAATATGTAGTCAACCTTGAATTCTCCCTTAGTATATGTTCCCAAATATTCAAATTAAGCATGCCACTTATTCCCAAATAAACCTCGTATCCCACATTTTTACAGCCAATTTTAGACTTAGTATATATTTCTCAATCTAGAGCAGTTCTGAAGTACTTTGTCATCAAACCCCTTTTTAAATCATGAATCATCAATTTGCCAAAGTATTTCCAAAGAAGGACAAGCAACACTGTTATTCTAGACCTTGTTCCCATGCTAAAAGGGAACTGGTGGGTAAAATGGAAAGAAAAGGACTCTTGGAGAAAGTTAATTTCCATGCTTGAAATCTGAGTTTAAATATGGAATACTGAGCATAATCTGATAATACACTCAACACTGTCAAAGAGGAACAAATTTAAAAAACAAACACAAAGATATCACTCTGATTAACTCGGATTTAACAGGATAAATATAAAAGTTGGAAAAACAGCCAGATAAGCAAAGGCAAACAGAAAACAATGGCACAATTTGATGAGAAAAAGCAGGAGACTAATACCCAGAAAGAGCTGAGGCTTGCAAAACTATCCTGAACAAAAAGGGGCTTTTAAGACAGTGTTCAGAAGCCTGCTGAGATGAACAACTTATGTTAATTGATGACAGAGTGAAGAACATATTGCTCAACTACTCCACTTATCAAGGACAATGATTACCAGGCTGCCAGAGAACAAATACTGACTTCAAAGAACCAAACCTAAACAGTGAGGAAACCTTGAGACATTCCAGACGCACGTAGGACTCCCAGATGGGCACCGACCAGTTTGTGTCCCAGTGGCTCCACTTCCTATCCAGCTCTCCCTGCTTGTGGTGTGGGAAAACAGCAGAGGATGGTCCACAGCTTTGGGAAACTGCACCGACATGGGAGACCCAGAGGAAGCTCTTGGCTCCTGGCTTTGGACTGGCTCAGCTCTGGCCACTGCAACCATTTGGGAAGTGAACCAGGAGTTGATGGAAGACCTTTCCCCTCTCTGTTTTATTGCCTTGCCAATAAAAATAAAATCTTGGAAGGCAAGGAGGAAAGAAGGGAAGGAGGAAAAGCAAGGAAGGGAAGGAGGAGGAAGGCAAGAAGAAAAGGAAGGAAGGAATGAAAGAAAGAAGGAAAGAAAAAGAAAGGAAGGAAGCAAAGGAAGGGAGGAAAAAAAGAAGGGAGGGAAAAAAGGAAGGGAGGAAAGAAGGAAAGAAGGAAGGAACAGAGTAGCCAGGACTCAAATGAGAATCCCCAGGATGGGATATGTGTATCTGAAGCAGTGGTTTAATCCCACTGTGCCAAATTCGTTCCTCTAGATCTTTGTCTTAACTCAGCTCCCAGCCTTTGTGTTTTCCTACTCAGGGCCCATACATTTTGGAACAAGACAAGACATTCCCTGATCAAACAACAGATAAAAATGTAAAATCAGGGTTGTCAATCACTGTGTACCAAGTAAAGCCTTCAGCCCACAGTGTCAGCAACCTACAAGTACTAATTAGAAATCCCTGCTCCTCCACTTCCCTTTCAGCTCCCTGCTTGTAGCCTGGGGAAGCACTGAAGGATGGCCCAAAGCCTTGGGACTCTGCACCCATTAGGAGACCAAGAAGAATCTCCTGGCTCCTTGTTTTGGATCAGCGCAGCTCTTACTCTTGTAGCTATTTGGGAAAAGAACCAGCAAATGAAAGTTCTCTCAGACTTCCCTTCTCTCTCTCTTTTTTAAAATAAATAAATATATCTTTTTCTTTTTTTTTTTTTTAAGATTTTATGTTTTATTGGAAAGACAAATTTATAGAGAGGAGGAGACACAGAAAGATTTTTCATCAGCTGGTTCATTCCCCAAGTGGCCACAATGGCTGGAGCTAAGCCAATCTGAAGCCAAAGCCTCTTCCAGGTCTCCCACGTGGGTGCAGGGTCCCAAGGCTTTGGGCTACCCTCGACTGCTTTCCCAGGCCACAAGCAAAGAGCTAGAGAGGAAGTGGAGCAGCTGGGACATGAATTGGCACCCATATGGGATCCCAGCATATGCAAAATGAGGATTTAGCCACTGAATCACAGAAATAGGCCCCCCAAAAAATACATCTTAAAAAAAAAATCTGGGGGGCCCGGTGTGGTGGCGCAGTGGTTGGGGTCCTCGCCTTGCACGCCCGGGATCCCATATGGGTGCCGGTTCTATCCCGGCAACCCCGCTTCCCTTCCAGCAATAAAAATAAATAAATCTTTTAAAAACATCTGAAAATCAGGATTGTTTTCACTCACTTACAGAAAGGTGGTCAATACACCCTCCCTTGACAAAAAAAAAAAAAAAAAAAACCTCTTAGGTAATGCTAATACTGCTTTCGACAAATGTTCTATTTTATCTCTACATTGTCTACCCTTAAAAGAACATCAGTCACAATCTGAGAAATCTACTTGCATGAACTTCTGTTAATTTTATCTTCTTTTCTGACTTTGTTAATAGGATGTTGAAGAAATGCTAAAGACATGGGATATATGAATTCCAACAAGCAACCTACTTAGCAAATAATACTGTCCAGAAGTAAAAGCATTTTTCCAAAGCAAATTATAAATGACCAATAAGCACATGCAAAAACAATATTGCTCATTTCCTTGCCTCTTTCAAAAACTCTAAAAATTAGTGAGAGAAAATATGATTGTAGATATCTCAAACAGCTTTCCTGACACATCACTGGAAACAGCCCCATCTCCCTTGCTGTTTCTTTTTTCCATACGTCTAGGGTTCCACAACTGAAACAAGATCATGAAAGATTCAGTTTACTGCCCTACCACTATTCTTTTAAGACCTGAGAAGAAAGGTCATGGCCTCACAAACAGATTCAGGATAATTTGGAACATTCATCATCATAACCCTCCCCAAAATTGCAGCTCTCTGGGGGAAAAAAATTCACCCTAAAGTAGCAAGGGTTGAGATCACTTATTAACTTTCTTCTGTTTCAGTAAAATACTCAGTTTTTGCAATCGGAATTATTCCTGGAATCTGGCCTGTGGTATTTGTGGAGGTGGTTAAAAAATGGCCAGCCTCCCTGGCAGGAGTTCAAACAAAGAGGGCAAGAGCGCTCAGGAGATGCTTTTCTGGGATAGCTTTAACACACTGAAATTTTTTTCCCCTTTGAAAATACAAGTAAAACCATCAGTCATACTGTCACCCCACTGGTGAGGATGAGACACAGGTGCATGTGTCTATGTACACATTCACATACGTACATGAATGCCGGGTGGCTGCAACAATCAGACACGGATGTTCCCCCTCCTTCTGCCCACCAAGACGGCCTAGAAGCAATGTCAGCCTGCTAGCAACAAGCAGGGGGTATTTTGATTTTTGTTTAAAGATTTATTTATTTTTATTGGAAAAACAGATCAGATTTTTACAAGAGGAGAGACAAAGATCTTCCATCTGTTGGTTCACTCCCCAAATGGCTCCCACAGCTGGGGCTGAACCAACTCGAAGCTAGGAGCCAGGAGCTTCTTCTGCATCTCCTACACTTTGGGCCATCCTCTACTGCTTTCCCAGGCCATAAGCAGGGGGCTCGACTGGAAGTGGTACAGCTAGGATACAAACTGGTACCCATATGGGATCCTGCAACTTGCAATATGAGGATTTAGCTATTGAGCCATCATACGGAACCCAATAAACAGGTTTTTATTTTACAGGAATAAAAAGTTCTCAGATACTTAGTTCACAGGAGCATTTTGAAAAATGCCCATTGGTCAAATATGAGACAACTTGAACACCAAGATGACAGAAGAATGAAACCTTTTCTGCAAAATAGGAATCTTTGCATGCATAGTGATAAAGTAGGCAAATTTTACCTGTCACAATACATAAAGCTAGACGATATATGAATTAGGAAAAGGATCATAATTTTGCAAACAACAGAGTAATGACTTGTTAAGGCAAGAACCACCAATAGTGCTGATAAACATCTGCATCAGAGTTTCAAATATTTTCTCACAAAATATGTATTAGTTATCAGAAACAAAATCCTGCATCATTAACTTCCTAGTGATCTAGCAGATCTTACCTGTTACTTAGTGATTTCTTATCAGCAGTGATGGATTAAACCATCAGCACGTGTCTCCCAGTAATAACACAGAGAAGACTATAGCATCATTTGAGGAACATTCTTGCCAGAAGTGCATTAAGAAAATTCAAACAAATGCAAACTGAGGGACTTTACAGAAACGTCGACGGCAGGGACAGTCACGTGGCAGTCATCACTTGCCAGGTCTACATGCTATCCTGGAGTATTTGGCCTGAAACTTGGCTATTCTACTTAATTCCACTTCTAGATAATGCACATGCAGAGGCAGCAGTTGATAGCTGAAGTCCTTGAGGGAGACCTGCATGGCATTCCGGGCTCCTGGCTTTGGCCTGGCCCAGCATGTTTTGTTGTGAGCATTTGGGAACTGAGTCGGTGAATAATATATCTGTTTCTCCACCTTGTGAATAAAATCAGTAAAATAATGTAAAAATAATAAGAGATAAGGAAAAACTAAAACACTATCCCATACTGAAGCAGATTAAAGACACATGGCAACTAAGTACGTTATAAAATTGTAGGTTGGAACTTGGAACTGTAAATGACGTTATTGGGATCACTGGCAAAATCTGCATTAGGCCTGAAGTGGATTGGTGTTAATTCAATTTCTGACCGTGATAACTGTACTGTGAAGAGAGTTCCTGAAGAAGTACACATCCATGTATGAAGGATATATGGTAGGCAGAATAACGGCCCCCTGAACAACTCTATATACTAACCCCTAAAACTTGTCAACTGTATATGGTAAAGGGGAATTAGGCCTGCAGATGAGACTGCTTCCTAGCATTATAATTTTAAAATGAGGAGACAATCCTGAATTACTCAGATAGGCCCAACACAATTACAAGAGCATTTAAAAGCGTTAAAAGCTGGCAAAGTCCTCTCCTTGCATGTGCCAGGATCCTATACGCTGGTTCATATCCTAGCTGCTCTACTTCCTTTCTAGCTCCCTGTTTGAAGCCTGGGAAAGCAGTCAAGGACGGCCCAGAGCCTTGGGATTATGTACCTGACTATCCAATTAAATAAATAAATAAATCTTAAACAAAAAAGTCAGATACACAGAGAGGAGCAGAGACAGAGAGGAAGATCTTCCATCCAATGATTCACTCCCCAAGCAGCCTCAATAAGAAATAAAATTCTTCCACAGTTACAAGAATATGCCTCTTCCAAACCTGCCCAAAAAGGATATTTAAACATGTTCTCTTGACAGAGAAGAGGAATAGCACCTACCAAAACCAGAAGCAAATGTGAAGCACATCCCAATAAAATAACAACAGAAGATTAAATCAACGAACAACCCATTGCTACAATGACAGGACAAATTACCAACCATTCATATTAACCCTGAGCTTAAATAGGTTAAACTCATCAATCAAACAGATTAGCAGACTTTATTGAAAGAAACAAAACCCATCTATTTGTTGCCTACAGAAGACATATCTCATCAACAAAGATTAGCAAAAAGTGTATCTCATGGACTTTGTTTTTTTTAAGTTTCATCTTTTCAAAAATCTTACTAAATTCTTCACTGACTCATAGATCATATAGTACCATCATTTTCTTCAAGAAGGTTCTTGATTTTCTTTTTCATTTCTTCAGCAACACATTAATCATTTAGCAGCATGTTATTTAGCTTCCTGCCATTTTTTATTTCTTTTTTCTTCCTATTGTTCATTTTGTTTTGTGGCTTTTCATTTAAGGGTATATACAGTATCTGTGTAATGGAGACTACCACATCCAGTAGCATGTTATTTAACTTCATGGCGTCGTGAATTTCTATTTTTCTTCCTGTTGTTGATTTTGTATTGTGACTTTTCATTTAAGGTGATGTATAGTAACTGTGAAATGGAGACTATCATATCCAGATGTGAGGACACAATGCAGTATGCATCTCTACTTCCAGATCAAAGATGGACTGCCAATGAAACTGTTAACTATATTTGACAATAGGATGCTGGACTCTGCCATTGTCCATGCCCACAATTATGGACTTATGACTGTGTATGAAGAACTATACTATAGTAATAATATATCAATATATTAATAATATAATTTAAAATATCATTATATATTATATCAATGTTATCTGCAGTTTATAGCATATTAAATGTTTTATATAACACATATATTGTATTAAATTATGTAATGATGATATGTAATATATTATATAATATATATCATACATATTATATACTACATATGTGCCATATGTTATATAATATATTAATAATGATGATAATAAAATTGTAATAACTTTGTGAGAAGGAAGGGGAGGGGTCTGGGCAGGGGGAGAAAAGGAGAATCCCAGGGCCTATGGAACTGTATCATAAAATGACAATAATAGTAATAAAAAAGTAAAATAGATTTAAAAAAGAAATTACATTTTGTCTTACAAATTTGCTGAACAGCAGTTTTACAGAATATCCTTCTGAAGATAATTTAAATCATTTCCACTCACACAAGGCCTGAAGTAACTTCTAATTAGCCTCTATCCTGAGGCGTTCACCTCATGTACAGCAGTGACACCACAGTTCAGTGAGGGGGACCCAGTGTGGTGATTCAGCATGCTAATCCTCAACCTGCAGTGCCAGAATCTCACAGGAGTACCAGTTCATGTCTCAGCCACTCCACTTCTGATCTAGCTCCCTGCTTGTGACCTGGGAAAGTAGCAGTGGATGGCCCAATACCTTGGGCCTCTGAATGCACACAGGAGACCTGGAAAGAAGCTCCTGGCTTCAGATCAGCTCAGCTCCAGCCACTGCAGGCATCTGGGGAGTGAACCAGCAGATGAAGTTCTCTCTCTGTCACTTCTCTCCGTAAAATCTTCCTTTCAAACAAAACTAGGGAGCCCAAACTCAATTTTGAGAAATTACACACACCTCCACTACAGCTTCTGGTGCTAAAGCTCTTACCTGTAGATAGAGATATGGGGGGATAAAGGACGGTTGGAACTTGCATTCTTATTCCAGAAACGCTCCATCTCTTCTTTGGCTGTGGTTCCCAAAGGAGCAGCACTAAAATAAAACAAGAAAGTTTTGAAACAACTGGTTTAATATTTTCCATGACAAGAAAAATGTTTTGAAGGTACAGTGGACTGAACAAATCCACAGTATCAGAAGAATATGTTCTTCCATTCCCCTTCCATGATTGTGTTAATATCCTCAGTCACCCAACAAGGTCAAATCACCCCACCTAATATATTGGTCTGCAAATGAAAGGCCAACTTCTTTCTTATCAGGCCGTATGCAGTGCTGAGTGCAATGTTTCAAATTCAATCACATAAGTGGATTATCCTTCTCTCGAACCACAGGTGCTCTCTCATACACTATCCCTGCTCTCTTTTGGCTTTTCAAGACTCTTTGTCATGGGGCTGTTCTGGTGACGTAGCAAGTTAAGCCTCCACCTCCAACATGAGTATCCCATGTAGGTACCAGTTTGAGTTCTGACTGACCTATTTCCTATGCAGTCCCCTGCTATGGCCTGAAAAAAACAATGAAAAGTGGCCCAATCCCTTGGGTCCCTGCACTCGGGCAGGATACCTAGAAGAAGTTCCTGGCTCCTGGCTGCAGACTGGCTCAGCTCTGGTCACTCAGGGCCATCTGGAGAATGAAACAGCCAATAGATATATTTCTGTCTCTCCTTTTCCCTCTGTACTCCACCTTTCCAGTAAGAAAATAAAATGAAAAATAAACTTTTTCTTTGAAAGGCAGATTTATAAAAATAAGGAAAAATAGGTCTTCCATTTACTGGCTCATTCCCTAAAGGCTGCAATGGCTGGAACTGATCCAATCTGAAGCCAGAAGCATCTTCCAAGTTCTCCTACATGAGCGCAAGGGCCCAAGAACTTGGGCTTCCTTCTGCTGCTTTTCCAGGTCACAAGCAGGGAGCTGGATCAGAAGTGAAGTAGCTGGAAGTAGATCCAATGTCCCATATGGGATGCCAGCACTGAAGGCAGGGGATAGCCTGTTGAGCCACCACACCAGCCCCCAAAATAAATAAATCTTAGATATAACATCACTTACACATTACTCCTGCACAAATGCATACTCTAAGCCTGGTCACCGGGAAACAATCAGGCAACCAATCAGCCTGTATTCTTCCACAATGTCATAAAAGCTAAAGGCCAGGAAACAAACCCAGATTTAAAAACACTGAAGAAAAACCACTACTAAATACGATGTGCAAGTCTAATTAGATTCTGGATGGGAGAGGGGATTTGTATTTCTATAAATAACATTATTTGGGACAAATAGAAAATACTAAAAATAACTATACATCAAGTAATTCATCAACATTATTGTGAAAATGTATTAATTATGTTTATATAATTATTCTTTAAAAAATGTCCTTGTCCCTAGCGTAAGTATTACTCTGAAAGGATTCCCTGTAAACAACAATAATTACAAACTTATGCTGAGCCACATTAAACTGTCAATATATGACCAGCTTAGATTCACAAAATAACATTTTCATATGGCACAACTTAAAATATCTAGAATAAGCAAACACAGCAAAACGTTAACAATCAGGTGAAACAGAACCTCACTGTACCTCCCTTACAACTCTTCTGAAAGTATAAAATGTTTGTAATTGTTGAAGTCAACACACTAGGAATATATAACAGGATAACGTATATTTACAGACTAACTCCTGGAACTACTCAAAGTTATAAGGGAAAAAAAGCATCAAGGGAAGAAAAACAAAACAAAGAAAATTCAATATCAAGGAAGAAATAACTAAGTCAGGGCAAGTCAACAAAGTTAAAGAGCACAGACAAATCTGAAACTGAGGAAAATTAAGATAAAGGAACTATCATTCCTCCCGCTTCCAGCAGAGGTGCCCACAATGACACCATCTTCGGTCAGCTGGCTACCACTGCCTGCTTGCAAACAAATTCCCCAAATCTAATTCTGCTTTTTTTTTTCCCACTCCTGGGGGGGAAATAATCTCCAGAGTTAAAAACTTACTTTCTGGGGCCTGGCGCGGTGGCGCAGTGGTTAAGGTCCTCGCCTTGCATGCCCGGTTCTAATCCCGGCAGCCCCCCTTCCCTTCCAGCCCCCTGCCTGTGGCCCGGGAAGGCAGTCGAGGACGGCCCAAAGCCTTGGGACCCTGCACCCACGTGGGAGACCCGAAGAGGCTCCTGGCTTCGGATCGGCATAGCATCGGCCGTTGCGCTCACTTGGGGAGTGAATCATCGGACGGAAGATCTTCCTCTCTGTCTCTCCTCTCTGTATATCTGCCTTTCCAATAAAGAAAATAAAGAATAAATCTTTAAAAAACAACAACAAAAAAACTTACTTTCTGATACAGAGCTGCGGGCTGAGGCGGGCTCGGAGGCAATGACGGCCAACGTGTCTGCAAGGTAAGAGAACAGGGAGTTAGCACATATCGAACACGTAACTTCACTGCGTGAATGTCTCTCTTTTAAAAGTCTTTTTATTTATCACATTTATTCAGAAGGCAGAGTAATAGAGAGACTGATCCATCTTCTATTCTTTGGTTCACTCCCCAAATGCCCCCAACAGCCAGGGCTGCTCCAGTTTGAAGCCAAGAGCCAGGAACTCCAGAATAATCCCCCAGGTGGGTGGCAAGCATGCAGTCATTATCTGCTCCTTGCACATTAGCAGGGAACTGGACTGCAAGCAGACGTGGAACTTGATCCCAGGCAGGAAGACAGAGAGGACCCCATGAAAAACACACAACCACAACGTTCTTTGGTTATGTCACTGAAACAAACATTTCTAAAAGCACCGAGGAAGGCAATGAAAGTCAAATTCTGGGATTAAAATTAGCAATGTACTGATCCTAAGAGGCTGCTTAACCTGTTTCATTGCAACGCCTGCCTCATTTTTGTTTCTGCACTCAATTAAAAGGCAACACTGATGGAGGGGCAGATCCAAAATAAAATGCAAACAATGCCAGTATCAATGTCCTCAGATTATTTTCTAGTTGTAAAGTTACAACTCCCAGTGACTTGTTAATAATCAGAAATATTATCCATCTGTGCAAAATAGCATATTAACTGAAAAACAAGGGAAAATAATAATCAAGGTTGGTAATATTCAACAGAGAAATACAGAGAGAGACTAAAAATAAAAACTGGGTCTTAAAGGAAGTGATAACTAAAAGACAAAATAACAAGCAACAAAGAAGAAAATGCAGAGTAAGCCAATGGCAACGGTGAGCCAGTGTTTAGATGTAATAACCCTGCTGCAAATCAATGGATTTGAAAAATTTGGAGAACAAAAAAATCTAGAAATTTGTGAAGCAAGGGTCCTAAATATTTAACAGGCCATATCAGAAACTACCAGCAAGTTCCAAACAATGAATAAACTCCAAGTCAAAAAGTTTCTCATGTATCAGTATATAAAGTATGAAAATGCATTTTTCCTCCAATCCTGGAAAGGCATATAAAGAACAAGTTTTCCACTAAAAAGTTGCTATTTGAAAAGGGATGCATCAGTACTGCTTTTAAAGTCAAAACAGATGTACAGGCATTTTTTTTTTTTAATTGGAAAGTCAGATATACAGAGGAGAGACAGAGAGGAAGATCTTCCTTCCACTGATTCATTTCACAAGTGGCTATAACAGCCAGCGCAGAGCCAATCCAAAGTCAGGAGCCAGGAGCCTCTTTCAGGCCTCCATGTGCGTGCAGGGTCCCAAGGTTTTGGGCCGTCCTTGACTGCTTTCCCAGGCCACAAGCAGGGAGCTAGACAGGAAGTGAGGCCACCAGGATTAGAACCAGCACCCATACGGGATCCCGGCACGAGCAAGTCAAGGACTTTAGCCACTAAGCTATCACACCGTGCCCATGACCAGGCATTTTACCTAAGGAAAAGATTTAGAGGATATTATGAAAAACACTACCAATATACTCTTTGGTCACATCATTATATCAAACCTTTCCAAAAGCTCTGATGGGGCTCAGCATGATGGCTCAATTGGCTAAATCCTCTCCTTGCATGTGCTGGAATCCCATATTGGCAACAGTTCGTGTCCCAACTGCTCCACTTACCATCAGCTCCCTGCTTGTGGCCTGGGAAAGCAGTTAAGGACGGCCCAAAGCCTTGGGACCCTGCATTTGCATGGGAGACAAGCAAGAAGTTCCTGGATCCTAGTTTCAGATGACCTCAGCTACGGCCATTGTGGCCACTTGGGGAGTGAACCAGTAGATGGAAGATCTCTCTCTCTCTCTTGCTCTCTGTCTCTCTCCGCAAATCTGCTTTTCAAATAAAAATAAACAGACCTTTAAAAAATGCACTGCTTCCACCTGAATTTATCAGCTATCCACTAGGTGAAATCTATGTAATGCAAGGATGTTCTGAAAGAGCTCACGATGCCCTCCCTCACAGCACTGACACCAAACACACAAACATTTCAAAAGCCTCATCTTTCACTCCAGCATCCTAGCAGGGCCCTTGACTGGAAGGGGCAATCCAACCAACAGCCCCTCCTTCAGCCCTTCCCTTTTGCCAGCTTTGGAGACAAGAGGTGAATACAGACATTGTGCATGCAGGGCCCCCAGAAAGAAGAAGTGGGAACAAATCTCTTTGAATTGTGACTCTCAAGCCGCAGGGCACATTCCTGCCAGCACGCTCGGCCCAGTCAGCTGTCCAGCAGGAGCTTGCAGATGTGGGTTGGAATCTATGGCGTGCTCTCTCTGTCTAGCGCTATTGTTTCTCAGACAAAAACCAATGTAAACTTTCAACAAGGCCCTTACAGAAATTATTTGTACCAACTCCATAACTTCGTTTGAAATATGTCAAAATTAGACAATCACGTGAAACCAGAAACTCTGAAAAGACTTCTTTTTCAAATTCACTTATCCTTACATGTGGGTGCATTTCTTGTTATATATACCGTATTCAATAAAATGTGGGGTTTTTTTTCCCAAAGAAAATTTATTTGTTTTGCAACCCAGGAATGATGTCTGCTGCAACTAGAAAGTAACAGTATACTATTTTGAATTAATAAGCCAGAACTTATAATTCTGATTTAGTACTGTCCTCTTTCAAATACACTGCCAGAAATGCAATCATCACTGAGCTCAAGGGCTGTCCTCAACTGCCTTCCCAAGCTACAAGCAGGGAGCTGGATGGGAAGTAGGGCCACCGGGATCAGAACCGGCACCCGTATGGGATCCCAGCACAAGACAAGTTGACGACTTTAGCTGCTAAGCTATCGCACCGGGCTCCTGAAATCATTTTTTAAAACTCCGAGGCCACCTCATGGCAGCGCACATTAAACCACCATCTGCAGTGCTGACAATTGCTGCGGGGACTACTTCACTGATCCAGCTTCCGGGTAACGCTCCAGGGAAGCAGCAGCAGCAGACAGCCCAAGCGCTTGGGAGACCCAGATGATGGAGGTCCAGGCTCCGGGCTGCAGCCTGGCCCAGCCTAGACATTCTGGCCATTTGGGGTATGATTCAGAGAAGGTAACTCCTTCTGACCCTAACTCTGCCTGTTCAATATACAAAGCTTAAAAAATAAACAGAGAAATTCTTCTTTGGATAAAAGCAGTAAGGTCTTTCTGAAAATAAAAGAGCCAGATTTGAGGTATAGGTCTGCAAGAACTGTATAATTGGATTTGAGTCACCAAGCTTTAGGTTTTTTTTCACATATAAATGAGACTACTATCCGCCTAATTGCTTCCTGAGAGGATTACATGAGAAATGCACAAGAAACCATTCTCTGAATTATAGCATATCACTTGTCCAGATAAGATATTATTTCATTTCTCATCCTGAGATTTTTAGAATTTTCATCACATTTTCTTTTAAGCATTTATTCGTTTTTATTGGAAAATGAGATCTACAGAGAGAAAGATCATCCACCTGCTGATTCACTCCCTAAGTGGCCAAAACAGCCGGAGCTGAGCCAATCCAAAGCCAGGAGCCAGGAGCCTCTTCCAGGTTTCCCACATGGGTACAGGGTCCCAAGTCTTTGACCCATCCTCAACTGCTTTCCCAGGCCACAAGCAGGGAGCTGGATGGGAAGCGGAGCCACTGGGATTATTACTGGCACCCATATGGATCCCTGTGCATGCAAGGTGAGGACATTAGCCACTAGGCTACCACACCAGGCCCCACATTCTTTCTTTTAAAAAAAAATTAAAAGGAGAGGGGGGCGGTGCTTGGCCTAGTGGCTAGGATCCTCAGCCTGAATGCGCCTTGATCTCATATGGGTGCCGGTTCTAATCCCGGCTCTAATCCTGGCTCCTGGCTTCCGATCAGTGCAGCTCCAGCCTTTGCGATCACTTGGGGAGTGATTTATCAGACAGAAGATCTTCCTTTCTGTCTCTCCTTCTCTCTTTATATCTGACTTCATGATAAAAATAAATAAATAAATATTAAAAATAAATATTTAAAAAAAAACACTGAACACAGCACAATGGCTAAATCAGTTAATCCTGCCCTTGCAAGTACCATGATCCCATATGGGCACCAGTTAGTCTCCCCGCTGCCCCACTTCCCATCCAGCTCCCTGTTTATGGCTTGGGAAAGCAGTTGAGGATGGCCCAAAGCCTTGGGACCCTGTACCTGCGTGGGAGACCTGGAAGAGGCTCCTGGTTCGGACTGGCTCAGCTCTGGCTATTGTGGCCTTTTAGAGACTGAACCAGTGAATGAAAGATCTTTCTGTCTCCCTTTCTCTCTGTAAATCCAACTTTCCAATAAAAATAATTTAAAAAAAAAAAAAAAGCCTTAATGGTGACAAAAATATTTACCTGCTGAAAGTGGATTTGACTTCTCGGAAAAAAAAGAAGGGCATTCAAAGCTCAGTCTATTAAAAACTGAAATCTGTTTTTACTCTAAAACAAGATGTAACTATAATGTAATGAGTTTCTCTTACATGACTTCTAAACTTGACCTAACAGAATCCCAGAGTTTCACAAAATATAAGATAACACCAACAATAGGACAAATATACAACCTTGAGTGACACAATAAAAAAGCAATAATCTGCACACAAAAATTCTGATAAATGATGACTTAGAATCTAAGTCACCCCTGGTTCTCTTTTTCTCACTCCTATACATAATGACACTTTTTGATGCTTTTAAAAGTTCAGTGGCTAGCACCAAAACATAGTAGGCTAAGCTTCTGCCTGTGGCACTGGCTCATGTCCCAACTTATGTCCTGGGAAGCAGCAGAGAATGGCTCTAGTCCTTGGGCCCCTGCACTCACATGGGAGTCCCAGAGAAGGCACCTGGCCTTAGATTAGTTTAGTTCCATTACAGTATATCCAGATAAACCAAGCTCTTACAGCTACATGCCAGTGCTCCTGCTGTGCTCACTGGAACCTTCCTCACAACCTGACAAACCAATCCTCCAAAACTCAGCTCCCAGATGGCAAAATCAGTACTTTAGCCTTATCTGCTACATGTACTATGCAATCACACCACTCGTTCATCTCTCATATCAACACATACTATGTTATTTAATAATTAACCTACTTCTTTACCTCCCATGCAAACTTTGAACTCCTGCAGCATAAGACTGGAACACTTTGTATTCCATTACACCTGCAATTATGGACACCTACGGCAGGCTCAAATATACATATATATTTGTGAAGGAGTATGCTTCTTTTTAAAAGCAGTCTTATGAATCATGAGTAAAAGCACATTTTTAAGAGTTAAGCCACACGGCTGAGTATCAGGTAAGACATCCAGTTGTCTAGCTTAGTTCAATTTCCGTCTTGCCTTTGGCAAGTCATTGCTTGACTGACTGCCAGTAGGAGTTTGTAACTTGGCTGGTAACCAATAATTTTTAATTTGCCAAGCACTAATAACATTTAACCAGAGGCAGGAAAGGCTGGAGAGGTGTTGGTCAGACGATATAAAATTTCAATTAGAAAGAATAAGTTTAAGAGTGTTATTGTACAACATACTAATTTACAGATAATAACAATCTATTGTGTATTTGAAAACTGCCGATTAGATTTCAAATGTTCTCACTACTAAAAAAAAATTAAGAATGCGAGGTAATTCATGTTATTTAGCTCCATCTAGCACATGGTGTAAATACATTTCACATTGTAGACCATACAGAGACAGAACTGTCAACTAAAAGTAAAATATTGGAAAGATTAATCAATATTCCTCTTAAGCAAACCCCAGATAATTATTATTTTCAACTCACAAATGAGGGAATCATAATCATGGAATTTTTTACTTTGATTTGTCCAAATCAAATAGAATTAATGACACTTTCAGAACTAGAAACCAGCTCCTGGAATTTCTCATGGAGTATTTTTGCTTAGAGTTAAACCATCACATTTTTAAATCACTTCCAAATCCTTTTGGTGAAAGGGAATTAGAATAGGGACTTTAGAGAGAATAATGCTTTTAATTTCCTATTTCTCCTCCTCAAAAAGCCACATCTGAGAAATGGAGGAAGAGGCAGCCTTCCCATGACTATTTCAAATTACAGCTAACAACAAAGAAATCTATTTCTTGGCACTGACTCCTAGCCCAGTGGTACACAATTCCAAATGACTAGGTCTGGATACACTTAATCTACAATCTCTCCTTGGTATCCAGCAGAACTTGGTTCCAGGACGCTCAGCAGAGAGCAAAAATCTAAATCGCACAGTGTCTGCATGTAACCTACACACATTTATCCTCCCATACACAACTCATGTCTGTGTGACTTACTTTACCTAAGACACCGTACGTATTATGTAAATAGCTGTTGTGCTGTATTGTTTAGGGAATGACAAGACGGAAAAAGTGTGCACGTGTGCACACCATCAACACAACCATCAACACAACCAGCCTGCATAGAACTTAACTCCTATGGATTCAGCATAGTGCTCTTGGAAAAATCCAAGTTTTGCTTTTTGGCAGTTTCTAGCGCTCTTCCTTTTTGATATGAAATTGGGTGGCTCTGCAGATGTAGAACATGTGGATACGCAGAGCTGACTGGATACTGCCTCTACTAAGCACTCATGTTAAAAGGAACTGTTCGAAACTAATACCATCATTTCCAGCTAAACATTAATCCCAGCCAAAGTCCCAACATCTCACCAAATATGATATAACAAAGAACTCAAAAGCATGTCAGCTCAGCTGGGATAGAGAAAGCAGTTCTAGCAAGTCTGGACTTGGCTCGTTAAGAAAAACTCTACCTACAGACAAAAGGCAAGGAGAAAATGAAGGATTAAGAGCACCTGCATTCAACTCTAAGCGAAATGATTTTGTCTCAGAGAAAAACAAAGTCCCTCTCTTTTTATATTAAGGAACTGAGATGGAAAAAGCAACGAGAGGATATTTGGGGAAATCAAAAACTGAAATCTCAACACTGCTAACTTTCCATAACAAACAGCTTCCAAAAATAGAGCTGGCAAGAAACTAGAGCTGGGACTTGCATCCAGGAGTGTGGAAAAGGTACGACTGGGAAGGCCGACAAGGAAAACAGCTCAGGAGATTTCTCTCAGAGAAAAACCGGATCTCCACTCCACCCCCAGATTAACTAAAAATTAGCTCCCAGGGCTGCCCTGCGCAGCACCGCACCTCGCTGAGTGCCCTGCCAATCGCCAGCCCAAGCAGCGGCCCAGCCTCCAGCAGCCTCGGGCTGGGGACCGTTAGGAAATCGGACGCAGCAGCGGGTGCTCGCAGGAGAAAGCAGCAAGGGCAAAAGGCACCGTGTTAGGACTCCCCTCCAGGCGCAATCCCTAAACACTTCTCAAAGACCGTCAGCCCGTTAAACTCCGACGTTAAACTCGGGCTACTCATGGCCTCGGGGTTCGACTCTGGGTGCGAGCCCGAGTGCCATTTGGGGAAGATGGATCCGAGGTGGGAGAAGAGAAGCGAGCGAGAACTGCACAATTCCTCGGGTTCGGAGTGACCCCCAAAACCCTCCGCAGGGCACCGGATCGGACGCGGGGGAGGGGAGATGGGGGTCCCTACAACTTCAAAGCGCGTGAACCTCCGCACCCACAAGGCCTTTCCCCTCCCCAGACACAGGGTAAAAACAGCTGTCAGCAAGACGTGATGGGACCATTCCGGACTCTCAACAACTGTGGGAACCGACCCCCAGCCCCATACTAAAGTCACCTCAGCAAGAGCGCAGCCATCTTGGGTTCCGGGGTGGACGGAAGTGACGCCAGGCGGGGGCCCAGGCAGCTAAGGGCGGCGGTGGAGCGGGAGGTGGGGGCGGGTGTCACATGACCACGCTGAGCCCTTTAAAAGGACTCGCCCCTGGCCTGCGGGCTCGCTGTTTCTTCCTGACATCTTCGGCTCTTTTCCCGTCTCCCGGCTCCCTCCGCTACCTTCCACCACCCAGAGCCCGGCTTTTGGCCGAAACGCCGCCGGCTCATGACTTGACAGGGTACATTTCACTTGAGTGCGTGTTCGATTCACATCGCCCTGCCACGCAGCGGGTTTTGTCCAGTCTTCCCTGAGGACCTGGCAGTTTTGGTGTCGTCATTCCCCTCCCGCCCTGAAAGCATCGCGGCTGACTGGCCGGCTGCCTGAGACACGCAGGGAAAGGGATTACTTAGGACTCGCTAGTGTGAAGGTTGCCAGACCAAATCGCAGAGACACACACATGTTGGGAAGTGTGAGGTGGGGCCGCGAAAGCACCTCTCAGAGGTGCTCTTCATTCCCAAGGACGAGCGCCTCCTCTAAGCACCACGATTGGGCTGCATAATTTTCTGGCCTTGAGCTGCCGCGGGAGTCACACGCCCACCGGACGGACAAGGCTTCTTTGTTGCTTGGGGGTTCAAGAGCTGTGTAGGCGACACCCACAGTCAGAAATCCTAGGGTGAGGGGGAGAACCCATTTGGATTTATACATTGTGTATTAACAGTTCTCAGGCATGTTAGAGCAGCCATTAGTCCAGTGAGAAAAGAAGCCTAAAGCAATGCAAAAGTTCCAGACTCTTTGGGGAAGTAGGGTGGGGAGGAATGAAGGGGATAGCCCCAAGCAATTCAGGTTCTATAGTAGCACTCAGATTTTATTTACATTTAGTACTTCTGCGCTTTTCACACAGGATAGGAACAACCCAAGTTCATTTCTTTCTGTATTCAAAGAATCCTAAGTTTGCATGTCTATAATACTTCTCAAAACAGTTTCACAAGTTTTGGAAACCAGAGGGTCTGATAAGATTTTTATGCAGTGCAGGGATTTCCTCTGCGTTATCACATCTGCTGATTTTGACACTGCTTCAACAGTGCAGTGATAGGTACCCTCCCCGCCAACCCCCCCAAAAAAAGCTTGTTCTATTTATTGAACAGCTTAACCTTTAGAACTTTCATATTAAAATACAATTTTCTGGGGCCAGGCATGATGGCTCAATTGGCTAATTCTCCCTCTGCAAGTGCCAGGATCCCATATGGGTTCCAGTTCGTGTCCTGGCTGCGCTACTTCCCTTCCAGGTCCCTATTTGCCGAAAGCAATAAAGGATAGCCCCAAGCCTTGGGACCCTGCACCTGTGTGGGAAACCTAAAAGAAGCTTCTGGTTCCTGGCTTCAATTCAAATCAGATCAAATCAGATCAATTCTGGCTATTGTGGTCATTTGGGGAGTACACTAGCTAATGGAGGATCTCTGACTCTCCTTTCTATAATTTTACTTTTCAAATAAAAATAAATGACAGTCTTGGGAAAATAGCCTAGTGGCTAAATCCTTGCCTTAGATGCCCGGGATCCCATAGACACTGGTTCATGTCCCAGCTGTTCCACTTCCCATCCAGCTCCCTGCTTGTGACCTGGGAAAGCAGCAGAGGTTAGCCCAAGTCTTTGGGACCCTGCACCTGCATGGGAGATCCGGAAGAAGCTCCTGGCTCCTGGCTTCAGATTGTCTGGGCTCTGGCCATTGTGGCCTTTTGGGGAGTGAACCAGCAGATGGAAGATCTTTCTCTCGGTCTCTTCTTCTCTGTGTATCTGCCTTTGCCATAAAAATAAATATTTTTTAAAATTCCATTAAAAATAAATAAGTAAATAAATAAATAACAAAGTGTTAATAATTGCCTAGCTGTGTGTCTGGAAAAGCAGTAGAGGATCACCCAAAGCCTTCGGACTGTGCACCCATGTGGAAGACTAGGAGGAAGTTCCTGGCTTCGGATTGGCTCAGGTCCAGCCATTGTGACCATTTGGGAAGATCTTTCTCTCTGTAAATCTGTATTTCCAATAAAAATAAATGGATCTTTAAAAAATACAATTTCCTGATATTTGACTCCAGTCATTGGTCCTATGTGGCCCTTCGGAACCTTATAATAATATCCAAAGAATACCTCTTTCACTTAGCTCAATAAATAAAATTTCACCTAACATATATTTTTGCCAGAGCCTGTGTAATGTGCTGGAAGAGAATCAAAGAGGTGGGCATGTATATTGTCTTCAAGAAAACTATAACCCCAGCAGAACCAATCAATAAAGAACCACAACTAAGAGAGTATCAACTCTGTGAAAGGTGTATGTTAAAAGGGGTGGCCAATCAAGAAGGGGTTAGGTACTGCTGGGGAGATGGAGTTAGCTATGATGTTGATTTTTGCCTGTGGAATTTATGATTAAGCCTAATACTCACAGCTCCATAACCCAAATCTAATACTAGTCACTAAACCCATCAGAACTATGGTGTAAGATGCCAGAAAGGTGCTGGGTGACATTAAGCCTATTACAAGAAGAACCATGGCTTTTCCACTCAAATTAACCTACATAGGCAATAGATCACACTGAATTTCAACCAAACATTGAATAAGTCAAGCTCCTATCATCAAAATTTATCTTAAAAGTAAACAGGTTGTGTGGCACTGGCATTGCGCATGGGTACTGGTTCATGTCCCAGGTGCTCCACTTACAATTCAACTTTGTGCTTGTAGCCTGGGAAAGCAGCAGAGGATGGTTTGGTTCCTGCACCCATATGGGAGACCCAGAAGATGCTCTTGACTCCTGGCTCCTGACTTCAGATCAGCTCTGCTCTAGCCATTGTGGCCATTTGGGGAGTGAGTCTAAGAATAGAAGATTGATCTCTCTCTCTCTCCCCACCTTCTCTATCTTTAAAATCTGCCTTACAAACAAAAATAAATCTTTAAAAAATGGTAAGCAGGAAGAATTGTCTAGTCAAGGTCTACAGAGAGAGAAAAGAAGGGAAAGAAAAAAAAAATTGAAAACAATGCAGGCCCAGCACAGTAACCTAGCCTAGTGGTTAAAGTCCTCACCTTGCACGCCCCGGGATCCCATATGGACACCGGTTCTAATCCCGTCAGTCCTGCTTCCCATCCAGCTCCCTGCTTGTGGCTTGGGAAAACAGGTGAGGGTGGCCCAAAGCCTTGGAACCTGCAATCACATAGGAGAGCTAGAAGAGGCTCCGGGCTCCTGACTTTGGATCAATGCAGCTCCAGCCGTTGCGGCAGCTTAGGGAATGAACCTGGCTTTGGATCGGAGTGGCTCAGATATTGCAGCCACTTGAATTGGTGGACAGATCTTCCTCTGTCTTTCTCTATATATATCTGACTTTCCAATAAAAATAAATCTTTAAAAAAAATTAAAAACAATACTAAATCAGAGTATGGGAGGTTCAGGGAAAAAGCCAACTTTGCAAGGAGAGATACAAGGGAGAATTCCGACTACAAGACTTTTTGGCCAGATTCATCTTAAAACTTTAGTCATGGAAACATTCTTGTCCCTAATTTCACCTTTAGCAAATTCTCAGGACATACCAAATTAAGTCCACCATTATAGTGGCTCATTCAAGACCTTCACTAACTAGCTTGTGAAGGTTTCGTGTTAGTTTGTGAAGATTTAGCTTGTGAAACTTCTCTGCTCAGATTCATTTCCTGCTATAGCACCCCAGATTCCCCTAAATCACTGAGTATTTGTCCATCAGCTTGGTGTTTTGCCTGTGCTGTGTCTGGCTGCCCTCCCTTCTTCATCTCATCTCTGTTTTCCAAAATGACATCCTTTGAGACCAGTCCATTTCTAACATTGCCACCTAGACAAGACTATCTTTACCTCCAAACTTTCCTTTCATTAAATAAGATTTGTTGTTATGTTTTGCTTTTATGCAAAGCAGAGTGACAGAGAAACAGAGAATTAGATCAATCTCCCAGTCACTGGTTCCTTCTCAACAGCTGGGGCTGGGTCAGGGCAAAGCCAGAAGCCGTGAACTCCATGACAGGAACCCAAGTACCAAGTTCACCATGTGCTGCCCCCAGATGCATTCCAACAAGCTGGGTAGGAAATGCAGATAGCCAGTGGCCACTAAGGCACATGAAGCAGCAACTTAACCTGCTACGTCCCAACACTGGCCCCTATTTTTGCCTTTAATCTCATGAATTTACTCAGTTCCCTGCTGTTGGACTGTGTGTGCCCTTCTTTGTACTCTGAGCACTTGGTTCATTACTAAAGCACACTTTGTGGTTTGCTACAGAGCTGATTATTGATGGCGTTGTCCTCTGAGTCTTTTCTGCTTTTTGAAGCTGGATGGAATAATTATCATTCCTGTTTCCATTACCTGCATTCCCCCGTCTTCTTTCAGCTGTCACACAATAGGATTTTGCTGCCTTGTTCTGCATAGAGATGGCCTTAAACTGCAGCATGAGACACTGGTGAGCTTCTTGATGCAGGATTTCTTCCTTGGAATGTTCTAGTGGAGAAGAGCTACCAACCAAGAGTCACCTAGGAGGCAGCAGATAATGGTCCAAGTAGCTGAGTCCCTGACACCGTGTGCAAGACCTGCATTGAATTCCCAGCTGCCACCTTCAGCCCCCAGAGCCAGACCCATCCAGCTGTTGAAGGCTTTTGGGGAGTAAACCAAAAGACAGAAGATCTTTGTTTCTCTACCTTTCACATAAAATAAACAGTTTTTTAATTAAAAAAAAAAAGGATTTGTAGTATAGTCCATGTTAAGCAAGTTAACATGATATATCCTATTTTCTTTTTCGGAGTTGTCTGGGGGAAATCTGCATCTAGCTCCAGGGTCTCTTGGCCAAACCAAGAAGCAATCAGTTTTCATGGCCTTTGGTTTCAGATTCTCGGCCCATTTATCCCTCAGAGAAGTATGTCTGTGTCCCTTTTTCTGTCCCTCTCCCTCATCAACCCCCCAACATTCCAGCCTGAAGTAGGGGGTGGCCAGTAGACACAAAGCCCTCTGTGTATGGGGTGGTATGTGTCCCCCCTACCCCTCCACCCAGGGTATACAATGCTCCTTCTGCTCCTTGCATGCTTCTCCCCTCCCCACCACCTCTTAACTGCACATGCCAGGCTGCAATTGGTTACTGGCTCAGGACAGCCCCCTCATACTGGTGCCCCAGGGGATTTTAAGCGGGTTCCAGAAACCCCCGCTCAGTTCCTTGTCCCCCACTCTCCCCACCCTGCAGCTGCACTGGGCTTTAGCCCCTGCCCCAGCCCCAGCTATGGCTCCTGGGGCGCCCTCATCCAGCCCCAGCCCTGTCCTGGCTGTACTACTCTTCTCTTCTTTGGGTAAGTGATGCTGCCCCAGTCTGGGAGTCCTGGGACACAGGGTGTCTCCCAGCAGGCTTCCTCTGCCTTTGCTGCATTTCCCACTGCAATGAAAGGAAGAGTGAGCAGGAGTAGGAAGGCACTATTACACTCAGAGGGGGGAAATTGGAAGGTATATTGTTAGGAAGAAGGCAGTAAAGGTATGCCATGGTGGTAAAATGGTAAAAGAAGGTGTGAAAAACATGGCTGGACGCACCCAGGTTGGAAGTCAGCAATGTTAGAGCCCCCAGAGCCAGGCTGAGAACCTGGTAAGAAGTAGTGTTAGAGCATGGAACAGAGCAGGATCAAACCCTTGGACTGGTCTCCAGCCATTACCCTACTAATACAGCCATAGTTTACCAAAAAAAAAAAAAAAAAAAAGAAAAATCAAGGAGCAAGATCAAAGGAGGAAACTCTTGGTCTGTGGTCTTAGCTGTTCAGATCCTTTGTGTGTGCCTCAGTTTCTCTCTGTGGCTCCTTGTCTGTTATGTGGGTGAATGGAATGGGATGGAATGGGAGCTTTGATGAAGTTCTAGGACGGCACACCTTTAAAGCTGACACCCTTCACAAGTTGATCATCCTCTTCCTTGCTCCCTAGAAGATGTTGGGTGAGCCAGAGAAGATACAAAGAGGGTTACAGGAAGGGGTCCTTCCGTTTTTGTTCTGTCCTGATTCTTGGTGCAATGAGTGAGCTGTAGGCAACATGCAGTGGGGTGGGAAAACAGCAAGGGAGGGATCAGAATGTCCAGGATTCTTTGCTGCCAGTGCATTGCGTCCTAAACCCAGAACCTAGACTCTTTTGGGCTGTACCGGACTATTCTGGAATATCTTGAGAAAATGTTAAGAATAGGAGATTGGGAGAGGGCACATGAAGGAAATGAAGGGTGAGTACCTTGAAGTATGAGAAAGTAGAATTCTGTTTCAAAGTATCGAGTAGAACTGAGACAGGCAATGGTTGATAAAAGAGGAGGAATAGAAGTTAGAACCAACAAGTAACTTCCCTTGCTATGTTGGAGATTCCCAAGAAGGTTCTAAGATACAAATCCCAGGAGATGAGTAATGACATTGCATGCTAGGGTGGAAGACAGGATGAGGGGTGGCATGAGTCCACATGAGGCAACATTGGTTAGACAACGAGACTTTGTTTGGTTGGCTACCTCCTCCCTCTCTTATGGAACAAAAGGGTCTACAGTTGCCCCCATCGAGGGCCAGCCCACATACACAGTCTCCCAGGAATGGTCTTGTGTGGGTGAGTCTTGGGGGTGGCAGTGGGCCAGAATGACCAAGAGGAGGGCGAGGAGAGTCAAACCACAGAGGGGGCACATATTGTCATAGGAGACTTGGCCTAAGAGTCTTTCTCTGTAGTCAGTTTCCCCTGAGAGAAGTACAAGGCCTCCTTAGCCGAGGGTGAGCCACGATTCCAAGGGAAGGACAGTTGTAGCAGGGAAGTAGACTGCAATTCTCTAGTTACTGTCATATATTTTTCCTGCAAGAAATGTATATTTGTTCTGCTACGAAATACTATGCAGCTATTAACAATAAAATTGATGTCTGTAAATTAACATGGAAAACTCCTCCAGCTATACCTATATATATGTATTTGTGTGTGTTTTAAGAGTAGAATATAATAAGTGCTAAAAAGGAAAGCAAAACAAAGACGCATGTGCACATGTACCCTGAGTTTACTGAGTTCATAGATGGGAAAGTATGCATCTTAAAGTGGTCACAGCAGTTGTGCCTGGGAAGAGACTGCAACAAAGGAACTAGCTGGGGAGGGTACCAAGGGAGTGCTCACTGGCTCTCTACCACTACAATTGTTTATAGGAAGAATATGATATATCTCACCTGTATGTTATGATAATTTGAAAACCTTTCAAACCTGACATTTAGCTTCTAACCCAAATGGAAAGTGAAACTTGGAGATGGTCCAAATTCTGGAAGTTGTCCAGAACATTCTGTCTCTACTGCTCTTGCTTCCTCTGCAGACATGCTGAAGAGCTTGGCCAGACATGGCATTTATACACATCCCCTGAGTTAGGCTCCAGAATGCCTTGTTTCTCTCTCAGTCTTTGCCATGGGCGTGGACCCGTGACTCATGACACTTCCTCTTTGATGCCTTCCTGGGTCCACATCTGGATCTGGTTCCCCCTCTGTGCTTGCAGTGCTATACCCAGCCCAGGCCATTGTGGTTTACACGGACAGGGAGGTCCATGGTGCTGTGGGCTCCCAGGTGACCCTGCACTGCTCCTTCTGGTCCAGTGAGTGGGTCTCAGACGACATCTCCTTCACCTGGCGCTTCCAGCCTGAAGGGGGCCGAGATGCCATTTCGGTGAGTGCCTGGGGGGAACCCTGGGACCGGATTACAGAAAAGCTGCTTCAAGAACCAAAGAAGAGAGAACTTGGGCTGGGGTGGGATGGGGAGAGATATCCCATAAGAACCCTGAGTGTGGCAAGGTGAGAGCACTTTGTCAGCCACCCTGAGCCTGGTATTGGTGTCTTCCCGGCTCTGTCCTCACGTGGGTCCTGTCACATCCTTCCTCTCTTTGCTCCTAGATCTTCCACTATGCCAAGGGGCAGCCCTACATCGACGAGGTGGGGACCTTCAAAGAGCGCATCCAGTGGGTAGGAGACCCTCGCTGGAAGGATGGCTCCATTGTCATACACAATCTAGATTACAGTGACAACGGCACTTTCACATGTGATGTCAAAAACCCACCAGACATAGTGGGCAAGACCTCTCAGGTCACGCTCTATGTCTTTGAAAAAGGTGTGAAAAGGGGCAGGGTTGGGGTGTCTGGGAGGGAATCGGAGGACTGATAGACTATAGGAAGAAGCCAAATGCCTGGCTTAGGATCTTCAGAGTCTGGGAAGGTGGGCAGAAAGTAGCCCTCTTCCGGAGTCTCTGTCCCACCCACAGAGAATAGATCTGGCACTGGGAGCCGCACAGACGGGTTCCCACTCAGTGAGCGACTTCTTTGCCCTGCCCTGCTAGTGCCTACCAGGTACGGGGTGATACTAGGAGCGGTGATCGGAGGCGTCCTCGGGGTGGTGCTACTGCTGCTGTTGCTTTTCTACTTGGTTCGGTACTGCTGGCTGCGCAGGCAGGCGACCCTGCAGAGGAGGCTCAGGTAAAGGGCGGAAGTCTGACGTCTCTCCCCAAGCCTCTTCCCCCGCCCCACCTCCAGCCAGACAGATTCCCTGAGTAGAGAGGGAGGAGAGGACCTCCGCAAAAAGAGCCAGCAGGGTCCGCTCTGTGCAAGGGGACTCTGGCGATGTCCAAGCCGTAACACTCGCCCCCTCCACCCTTTTTAATCTGCAGCGCAATGGAGAAGGGGAAATTGCACAAATCTGCGAAGGACTCTTCCAAACGCGGGCGTCAGGTTAGCGGGACTTGAGGCGTGGCCGAACTGGGGAACAGTACCCCGGGAAGTGCCGGGCAGCCGGGAGGTGTGGGTCAAGGGCAGCCATTCGGTGGCTGATGCTCGTGCCCTCCCTCGCAGACACCAGTGCTGTACGCCATGCTGGACCACAGCAGAAGCACCAAAGCTGCCAGCGAGAAGAAGTCTAAGGGACTGGGGGAGTCTCGCAAGGATAAGAAATAGCGGTTAGCGGGCCGGGCGGGGGGTCGGGGGTCCGGGCCGGAGGCCTCCAAAGGCGCTCAGGTGGTAGTCATCGAGATGGAGCTACGCAAGGATGAGCAGAGCTCGGAGCTCCGGCCTGCTGTCAAGTCCCCCAGCAGAACCAGCCTCAAAAACGCCCTCAAGAACATGATGGGCCTGGACTCGGACAAGTGACCTCCCCTCTCAGGCCCTGCCCGAGCAGGGGGACCTAGGCTCCTCTTCTCACCCGTCTAGGTGCTCTGCTCCCTAGCTCCCCAGCCCTGGCCTGTCCTCGCCTACCTTTGAGATGTAAGTTTTATTCCAGAATTCACTCCTCCCCCAGCCTGGCCTCCTGGCTTTCTGGGAGCCTACTCTTTCCCAGTCCCCAAGGGCTGTGTGTTTGGTGCCTGGCCCCCCGGCACCGAGAAGAAAGGGACCCTCTGTTCCACGTCACCCCTCCCTTGCACCCGGCCCCCAAGCTGTCCTCCACTCTTCCTTCTCCGGTCCCCTGTCCCCTTCCACCAGGCAGCCCAGCGCCACACTGTGTCCTTCCAGCTAACACCCACCATCACTCAGACCAGACTCTCCTTCAGGGTTTATTTAGGTTATTGATCTTTTTTTTATTTTATATTTTAATCCATTTTTTTGTTTGTTTACCTGTGCCCTGCTCTGCCCTTATCCCCCCCATGACCGAGGACCGATGACGTCATGCGGCAAATCCCCACACCCCACTAAGCCCTTCTCCAGAGCCAGCCCAACCAGAGGGGCCCCTGAGTCTGGAACCTCAGATATTGGATGAGCACTCCCTGACCACTTAGGAGCACTGTTTTGAAGTTCAAGGGCATAGGCAAGGAATGAGAGAGAGGAAATGGATCCTTACAGGTCAGGGGTTGGAGGAAGGGAATATGAGCATGAAGAGATGGCTTTAAACAATCAAACGGGGAAAGGAAGCGACTGTACTCCCAACCATAGGAGATTCTTAGAATTTTTCTACATTCTGTATATTTCTTCTCAAACCTCCAAATGTCCCTAAATGTTTAATAAACACTGACATTTCCAGAAACTGCTGCTTCCATGTTGCATTTCCTGTTTCTCGTGAGAATAATCTCTGCCTCTTCTCTCATTTCCAAACTCCCACACTACACTGCCTCTCCCAGCACGGGCTTGTGCAATCTGACGGGAAGAACTCGGTGATGGGCTCACACGATGCTTTGTACCTTGCCCAAAGGTGCAATAAGCATATACTGTGTGTCAGTGGAGTCAATCTTTCCTCTTACTTAAGACCCTGAATCTCTCTTCACCAAGATCTGCGTCTCAAAAGTATCCCAGCCACACAGCAGCTGTGTGACCAGCAAATCACTTGACTTTGTTTTGTTTTTGTTGTTTATGCATTTGTAAACAACTGAGATAATGCCACCTACCCTACTTCATTCCTGGAGTTTGCAGGAAACCAGTGAACTCTTGTGTATGGAAACCTTGTAAACCACATCTACAGTTAACATAACTACAGCCAGCTCCTTAAAAGCATTTCTAGTTCTTGCCTAAAGAAGTAAGCATTCTAAACATTAGTCTCATTCATCTGTCCATAAATACATATCCAACTTGGCTTTGTGAATAGTCTATTTTATCTTTTTTTAAGATTTATTTGTTTTTATTGGAAAGGCAGATATTAAGAGAGGAGGAGAGACAGAGAGGAAGATCTTCCGTCCGGTGGTTCACTCTTCCGGGTCTCCCACACGGGTGCAGGGTCCCAAAGCTTTGGGCCATCCTCGACTGCTTTCCCAGGCCACAAGCAGGGAGCTGGATGGGAAGTGGAGCTGCCGGGATTAGAACTGGCACCCATATGGGATACTGGCACATTCAAGGCGAGGATTTTAACCACTAAGCTATCACGCCAGACCCCGAGTAGACTATTTTAATTATATTCTTAACATAGCTCATTAACTATCATCCCTGGGAGCACTGATAGCAAAATATCCCCCAAGATCTTCCCACACAGGAAATTTCTTATTGAGAAGCTAAGGATGTGCCTAACACTAGCTTTGCCAAAGCACAAAGGGCTTCCATTTATTTGATGGACATTCTCTATTTCTTTTAAAAGAAAAATTCATCCAAATTCATATTAAGGTAAAAGCTATTAGCTTGTATAGATAGCTTTTGGCATTGGGGGGCTAGGAGAAAGCATTTAGTAACAACTCGGTCATGTTGGAAACATTTAACTAGGTACCAGTGCCTGACTGAGTGGTGGAACAGGGGACGGGTCATACTTGGCAGGGCCAAGACACTAACCAGCACGTGAGAGAACCAGGTCTTGTGATAGATTCTGTGGGGGATGAGTGGGCACAACCCTGTGGAAATACAAGTTCCACAGGTTAGCTCGCGAGTTGGGGTGGTGATGGGCTGAGCTTGATGTGACCATGGAATGAACCTGCCATCACTCACGGGCAAAGAAACCAACAATAGTCTGAGCAGGTCAAGGCAGCAGCACCTGAATATGCATCCTGAAACAGGATGTGGAGTGGACCAGGCCGCAATGTTCACCAGCTCATACAAGGCAAAAATGGAAGGCCAGACTATACAGGGCCCTTGCCTAACACACACTAGCATGTATGAGAACTGGGTCTGGGAGTGGGTCAACTGGGGGAACTTGGGAAACTTCTCTAGCGGGTCACAACTCTCACTGATGATCACATGGTCCAGGCCTGGGGGGTCAGGCAAGTTGGGCAAAGTAGCTCCTACTGTTGGCTAATGTGTGGGTTGGTTATGAAAGGGGGCTGACTGGGCAGGGCCGAGCAAACCTCAACTCACAAGCAAGAACAGAAATCAGGATAGAGCACGGGTCATGCTAAACTAGGCTCTTACATCAACTGGTCTGCATGAGCCAGGGATACTAGGCCACAGCATCGAAGGCAAAGAATGAGACAGGTGTGGGGCTAAGCCAACTGGGTGAGAGTAACCACTGGCACGCGCATAATCTATGGCTGGGAATAGGCTTGGTTGGGGAGCTATGAGAGTACACTCTTGCTGGGTTGGAGTTCCCACAGGAGAGTGCAGAGGCCAGAATGGGGGCTGAGTTCTGCTCTGGATATGGCTGCAATCTCCCTAGGCACAAGTGTGAACTGTGACTAAATCCACTGAGCTGGGCTAGACTCCAACACCATCTGGTGCTCTGGAGGACCAGGGTAGATGTAGGACAGACTATCCTAGGTCTCTGCCCCTATAAGCCATGTGTGAGCTGTGTCTGGGTATGGATGAGCCTTGGCTGGGCTGAAACATCCAACAGTAAGAACCAGAATGGGTTGAAGGCAGTAAGGAAACGCCTCTGTAACTGCCAGGACAGGAAGTAGACTAAGTAGGGCTGGCCCATGGACCCACCAGTATGCGCAAGACCCAGCAATGGGAGAGGTTCTTACGAAGGAGCTTGGGGAACTCCTCTGTTGGGACACAATCCCTACAGGTGATCAAAAGAACCATGATAGGGAGCAGCCCAGACCAGCCAGGGAAAGGTACCCACTGGCAGACATTTAGCATAGGTGGGGGACAGACCAGGCTGAACCAGTTTATATCACCCGCTGGCAAATCTGACCACCAGAACAGACTGTGGGTCGGGCCAGCTTAGGTCGCAACACATACCAGTATACATTACAGCTGGGATTGGATGCCTGGTGGGCTGAGCTGGGCTTTAACCTTCACCAGCATTAGCTGGAATTGGTGGTGGCCGGGCCAGGTCAGACTACAACATCCACTGCCAAATACCAAGGTGAGGTGAACTGTACCAGATTTGGCTGCAGCGCCCAACCAGCACATGTGAGAATCAGGGAGGGAGGGGACAAAGCCAGTAGAAGAAATGTGGAGGGCTCCCCTGTTGGACAACCACTCCCACTGGAGAGCGTGAGCTGGGATGGGGGCAGACCGGACCACAGGGCTACAACACCTGTGGGCCTCATGTGAGCTAGATCAGGGAAAAGCCAGGCTGGGCTGACTGTTCTGACTGGTGCAAGCAAAAATTAAAGTTGGTGAGGGTTAGTTGGGCTTTGCCACAGCATCAGCTGGCAGAAGCTGGCACTGGGGGCTAAATCTGTCAAGTTAAACTGCAAAACCACCTGGAGAGTGCATAATCAGGAAGTGGGAGAGACCTAGTAGGGAAATAGTGGGCACCTCCCTCTTGGGTGACCATTCCCACTGGAGAGCATGAAAACCAGGACAGGGGCAGGGGTGGCTAACAGAAAGGCACCCAACAGCATGTGTGTGGGCTGGATAGTAGGGTTGGTTGGTTAGGTTGAACTAGGCTTCAATGCCCATTGACATGTATGAGAGCTGATTGGGATGTGGGACAGACTAAACATGTCTGCAGTACATACTGGCAAGCATGGGAATCAGGGCAGGGGGGCAGGCCTGGTGGGGGTTATTGCTGGTCACTCCAACTAGGCTGCAGATCCCATTGGTTTGCGTGAGGACCGAGTATGAAGTGGCAGGATCGAGCTGGACTGCAACAACCATTGGTTCATGTGGATGACAGGGCTGGAGACAAAAATGACCCAGCAATTGCAATGACCAGCATGTGCGTAAGCTAATGGGGGCGATGGACTGTGCCAGACACTATACTGGCATATTCAAACAAGAATCAGGTCTGGGATCACCTCAGATGAAGTTTCTTTGGAGATCCCTGCAACTGAACTACTGGTCTCAGAACCCCAACCATGAAGAGACTATGTCAGCCAGTGGATTCTGAATAGGTTTCATTGTAATTGGAACGCCGAGATTGGCAGCAGTTCACACCTGTTGAGCTATCAAAACTGCTTGAGCAGGACCCTCGGAGCATGCCCCGCATTGGGGACCTGGGATGGGTGGGAGACTGGGTTAGGCTTCCATCTTTGTTTCTCCCCTGACTCTAGATACAGAAAAAATGATATTAATGTGGAAACAATGGTCTGACTCACTTTCCTGTAGCCCTTGACCCTTTGTGACCTAATCAACTATGTAAAGATTATCTATCTATCTATCTATCTATCTATCTATCTATCTATCTATGTAAGAAAATAAGCAAGCAAGAAATAGAAACTTGTGACATTATGGTATGTTTGTCTATTAACAAAATAAAATAGTTAACATAAAAAAATAAAAGAAACATATAAGTTAAAGTTTTTTTGTTAGTTAATGCCCATGATCATTTAGATTGCCGCAGCTGGGTTCTGTGCTTAAACATCCCTTTCTTGGGACTCAGATGAGTTAAATGTCCCTTCTGAGATTTAGCACAGCCCATAGCGTTTCATTTCATTACAGTTTTGCTCTGAAAGAGTCATCAACTCCCTGTTTTATAAGCTGTTTTCCAAGTTGTTGTGGCTTTTAAAGATTTTATATACTTAAATGTCAGAATGAGAGAGAGATCCTATCTGCTGGCTGTCTGCCCAAATGCCTACCACATCTAGAGCCAGTCAAGCTAAAGCCATGCAATGAGAACCCCATTTGGGTCTTCCAGATGGGTGGCAGGGACCCAAATACTTGAGTCATCACTTGCTACCTCCAAGGGTTCACATTAGCAGGAAGCTGAAACTATGAACAGAACTGGCATCTAAACCCAAGTACTCCCGTTCAGGATGTCAGCATCCCAAATGATGTCCTACCCACAAGGACAAATGCCCACCGTCAATTGTTTCAATGTTTCAGAGTTTCATTTGGATTCCTGGTTCCCTGGAATAGTGCTTTACAGACTCTTCCTATGCATTTCCACACACTTCCATGAGCTGACCCAAGACTAAGCTCCTTTCTCACAATTCCCACAAATGGGGAGCATGTTATTTCTCTCTACACCAATGATTGAAGAAAGCCTAGAATAATGATTCACATATAGAAGAATGGCTTTGTCATATATGATACTTCACATTCTCTATAATTGCTACTTTTAAACAAGCTATTTATTATATCCAGTGCATCGCTAATATTAATTTTCTGCAGACATGCTATTTGGATAATTCAAAGTGACTTTCAATGAAAATCTCAAAATAAAA